AAAGGGAGAGTGAGGGGTGAGTGGACAGGGTGGAGGTTGTAAGGAGGCGCGCGATGTTGAGAAATGGCGCGCCTAATGAGATTACCTAATCGATCAAAGTCAAAACCGTAAAACAAACCATCGGTACATACATCGGGTCAGTCACCAACAACCTCTCTCTCTATCTTCTATTAACTGTATTGTATCGTCGCAACTAACCTTTTCTGCCTTTTCCTTCTCCACACCTTCTTATATCACTCTATTCCTACCCTCCTCTCACTCAATATCTGACAACCGGGGCTCATTATGCAGCTCACACAGTCATCCTTCCCCCCTTCTCCCTCTCCCCTCCCTGTCGATCCCCCCCGTCGTCGACCAGGGGCTCAATTCTACCTCGCCGATTTATCAGAACCCTCTTCGATAGAATCAACTCCCAGATCTCATCCGGTCTTCTCACTTCACTCTTCCAATGTCATCCGTCCAGAAGTTATACTTCCCCCAGCTGGAGATTTGCCACCATACAACCCTCAAGATTCGGACGCGTCGATAAACTCGATCATCTCTTTACCACAACGTCAACATTTCAACCCATCATCCCCTCTCATCTTTCCTGAGGAGCCTGGTCTCCCACAGCAGCCCATATCAACAATGATACCCACTCAGCCTCAAGACCAATCAGATGCAGCTGGACCCCCAAAGTTACTTTCCCCGGCGGACATTCATGCGGAGGGTGGCATCCAAATCACCGAGCAGCAACCTCTTACGATTAGTTATACTCTTCCCAATCTACCTGATACTCCAGGGAAATTACACCATTCCACACCAAGTCCACTCAAACCGTCTCCTTTTGAGATGGACGTCAAAGAGTTTCCCTTTGTTTACCCTTCCGACAGTGTCAGTGATGGTTATATGCCTGGAAAGAGGGAGAACTTGTTGGACACTCTGTTGGAGATCCATAGGGTACTATACGGAGGTGAACAGATTAAGGCTTGTATGGCAGAAAGAAGAGAAGGGGTGAAACAACTTGTTGAGCGTTTCTTCGAGGGTGATGTTGGTACGTTTTACCCTCCTACCCTTTCCACCAACATCTTCAATTTGTTATAAAGCGAGAGTTATATGAAGTTGTGATGAGCTCATGACTATAGTATATGATCATCCTCTTGTTAAGCTTACCTCCCGAAACGCCGTCGTCACTCATTTTACCCTGTGCAATCTCGCCTCCACTCTCTACCTACCATCTGTCACTCCTACAGGAATGAAACAACATACCAAAGCCGTAATCACCATCTTCGGCCAACAAGTCACCGTAGTAGGTTCTTCCGTGGCCAGCCGTGCTTGGTATGTTGTATCTTTGATCCTACCGAAACCTCGGACCATTTCTTTTGATCCGGAAAAAGCTGCTCTGACAGCTTTGTCCAAAGAGAAGGGAAAGGGAAAAGGCAAAGGAAAGGAGACAGAGAAGGAAAAGATGAAAGAGAAGGAAGTGGAGGAGGGGAAGGGACAGATGGAGAAAGAAACAAAGAGATGGTATCCTGATGGAGGGAATGAGGCTTGGTGGAGGTTATACGATATCAGCTCGGAATTCAAGGATTTAGGAGCGTTGGAGACATTTGGTGAGCGATTTTTCAAAAATTCTACAGCTCAAGACTTCTCAAGTACTCACACCTCCCCAAAGACCTGGGGGTGGTATGCTTTGTCAATCCTATTGAAAAGGCATCTCTATATATGTTTGTTTTACGGTTTCAGATCATCACTCAATTTGATCGCCCGATTATTATTAGACTATGGCTGACTTACAGAGGGACATCACTCGGCGTTGATTCAACAGTAAGTCTCCTTGTTTTTATCTCCGTGACAAACTGACACTCTAGCGTCGTCACGCTTCGTCTCCTTCCGGCTCTCCTCAAACCCATACCTGCTCACCCACTTCCACTTCAACGTGACACCATCAACGACCACGGTTCACTAGGCATGTTCACGGAAAAAGTTTCTTACACTCATCGTATCGCTGCTGCTGTAGCTCAAGAATGTGAGGGGTTGTTGAGGTGGCAACTACCTATGTCGACTTTGGTCGAGTTCAACGAGATGGGTCAGTGTTTTCTCTCTTCTCACATACTCCACCCTACTCTCGTCACAAAAACCATCCCCGATCATTCACACTTTCTCTCGTGATATCTCCCATCTCTGTAGCTCCAAGCCACTTCAAACCTTCTCTGTGTCGTCGTTCCGTCTTTCTCGGTCTTGCCGGCTGGTCATCCGGCCAGCTCGTGGAGTGGTGTGTCATAATCTGCCCATTTCGTCAACATAAAAGAGCATGACAAAGAACTGATGTTTCAGGCCGAGCGGTCCGCCTCCGAGACAATGTCGATATTCGTGATCTTGTCGAAGCTGTCGTACCTCTCGCCAAAACATTCAGCACATTATCCCGCCGATTGACAGGTTTGCTCACGGGTACCATTGGGAATTGCGTTTTGAAGTTTATCCCTGAACCTGTTTTACCAACCAGTATCAGTCGAACACATACTCAAACGCCAAGTGAGTGGTCCAATCATTTCTATACAGCACTTCCTTTCCCTCTCACAACCCATCACCGCCATCCTTCTTCATTATCCAATTCTCCGTCCAGTCCCTCATCTGGCAGTATCTCCCATGCGCTCCCTCACTTCTAAACTTGGATTCAACCCCCCACGTCAGGTAAGATGTTAGTTTTGACGTGTTATAAAAAGGACCCTGCTTGGCTAACTAATCTTGGCACCCAAGCTAATCTTCAGCACCTATGACCCCACCCGCTCAGACGCTAAGAAATACACCCTATGGTCCTGTCTTACCTCCCGGTTGGTCTAATGGGATCAAAGCGTGATCATTAAATTCAACTTCCCGTACTCTCTCTCTCTCTCTATCGTTCGCTTTTGTCAATGTAGCGAATACTCTATAGTAATGTTTCATACCTTTTCTCAGTTCAGACTCGATCCTACCTATCCTCAACCCGGATTAACTCTTCCCTTCGTCTCTTCGATTTCCATTGTCATCAATTGGCTCCCTTCCTTCTTTCTTCCGTCTTTAATCAACTATCCCTTTTCACCTGTCGATCGACTTGACAACAATGTAGCTACTTCCCTCTTTCCAACCACTACAACGTCCGGATCATACCCATCAGACCTTATCAATTTATACCCCATCATATAATGTTGTTGTAATATCACATGTAAACATTATGTTGTTCCCTTTACTGTATACATTTTCCAATAGGTTTTAGTCCCTGCTGCATGTCTTAATTCAACAACTGTTCCTTTGCTCCCTCCCTGACTGTCCCGTTGGCTGCAGCCAAAGCTTGACTCTTTCTTTTCTTGGTACCCCTGTATCAATACTCTCTTTGCGTGTGACATATACAAGTGCTTGACTAGAGTGAGTTTGCCACACACTATGCCACAGTGCTTCTTGCATTACGTAACCACTCATCGGGTCAGTCCGAAGGCCGAACTCATGCAAATTACTCTAGATTCTTGTGCTGATACTAAACTCGTACTCGTCACTACTGTACTTCTGCGATATGCTACAAAATATCAAACCTCGTACACCTCTCATAGCGAGCTTGTATCTCTCAAAGATTTCCCCTAGTCAACAATTCGATCGGTCGATAGGATCAAACGTACGAGTACCGGCCTCAAAGCCCATACCTTCTTCTGTTTCTACCTTCCCTTGCCCTTCTCTTCCCTCTTCTTCTCGGAACAAACCTTCATCACGATCGTTCCTCTCCACTAAACTCATTACGTATATAACTCCCATACCGAAACTCCCTATTCATCTAACCCATCCTGCGAAATCATCTAGAACGGGCACTTCTTCCACCTCCTCAATCTTTCCAACATCGACACTAACAACTTCTTTAATCCCTTCCATTCCTCCATGCGGATCAACGATGAGTCGTGCAATTTTCAACATACGACCTGGAGTCAAATCCCTCTTCAAGCTCAATATGATGGATGAAGCGAGAAACGGTTCTGTTCTCTTTATGGTAGCTCAACAAAGACGGCTTTCAGATATTGGAATACGTCGTCTGTTCAGTTCAAGTATGAAGATTCCAAGATCGTCTTCTGGACAGGGATCGTCTGTAGGTGGTTCGACTGTCATTGGATTTGGAGGAGGTGGAGTTGGAGCTGGAGGAGTTGGGGGAGGAGTTGGAGCTGGAGTTGGAGCTAGTGGGGGTGGGGGAGGAGGAGGAGGCGGAGGAAAAAGGAAAAATGGACATTTAGTTTGGTATAGAGAGATAGTACCAGGTGAGTTCCAAACCCTCTTTCTCTCTTATTCTCCTCTATCTCTTCATCTTTACCCAACTCCTTCGCCTGTATCTCATCTATGACAAATCTATCCTTTCTTAACAACCAATTATACTACTGGTACATTCACAATCAACGTCCATCATGTTTCATCATATCATTTAAATTCCGTTATTTTGAGAATCTTCGTGAATATAAGTCTCCCTTGAAAATCCTCAAGTTATGTCATAAGATCTCTTCATCTCCTTGTTCTCCATCCCCTGACACAGTTGTCAATACTGATCGGATATTCATATCTAGTGAAGATTATAATTGTGGACTTTTCATCGATCGGTTAGAGAAAAGGCGAGCGAAATAGAAATAGTTTATTGACAAACTAGCCATGTTACCGGTTCTTCTACTAGCATCAACAATCTTCTTATCTCTTTCTCTCTTCCAAGCTCATTTATCCTCTCAGAAATCATCACGAGAAACATCTGAGATTATATCTATCCTAGAAGCTCAAATAGAAAAATTACGTGTTGAGAGGAAAGAACGTAGAGAAAAGGAGAGGAAAGAAAGAGAAAGAGTTATACCATTCATAGTTGAAAGAGTTTTGAATAAAGTAGGTTGGAAAGAAAATCATATAGAAATGAAAGAAGAACAGTTTGAAAAAAAGTAAAGAAATAAGTTGACATGAAAGGTAATTTAAATTGTTGAATCATTAAAATCACATAATGAATTTTTCCCCCCCTTTTAAACTTAATTGATCACATCGTTCTCCGTGATCCGTGGTGAATGATCAGAACCCTCTTCTTACTCCACTTTGATATAATCAATATCCTCTATCGGAGGCCTAGGCCATTCTTTCCTTTCCCATTCATTTCTTAATACACTAAACTCTGGTGGAATATCAAAACCACTCTTTAATGTTACAGCAAAAGTTTGTAAAGCTACTTGAGAATTGAATTTACTCAATGCAGTTAAAATATCCCTTTTGTCATAACGTGACTCGAACACTTGTAATGTATAGTTTATACTACCTGCCTCGTAATGTTGTTCGTCAGGGAAATGAGTTTGAACATGTAATGTACCTTTTGAATAAGTCTTTAATATTTGAGATTGTATACCATTTGCTAGACCGGGAAAGACATCGAAGGGTAATGTTGATGGAATAGTATCCTTTGAAGGTAGTTCTTGAAGTATATACTTTTCATATGATTGACACGGTTCCGAAGGGTCTGAAGGAGGTTTATCCCAGACAAACTGAATGGTCAATTCATTTGATCTTCCACCCTAAAAAGCAGCAGAAGATGTTAGAGGAAAGAGGATGAAGATCCAGAATAGATATCATGAATTAGTTCTTTTTTAGAGATTTTCTTCTCAATTAGATATACAATGGAAATGATTGTCATTTTAAGAGTAAAGTTATGAGAAGGGATTTTGATGGGAGGGGGGAGTAATCAACTAAGTAGTTAAAGAGCGAGTGGAGAGAATGAGAGAGATATTTATTTATTTACTTTTTGTTTTTCAGGTCGATTTCGAAAATCATAGAAATAGAAGAAAAAGAATAAGAAGGAAATAAATAACTCACCGAAGTATGTACAAAAGGTCTAAAAGTACCTAGACTATTCTGATCGGGACAAACAAGGACCATCAATTCCGTTTTCATTGATAAGTCTTCAAATATCCCAGGTTCTTCTATACCTAAAGCAGGTTGTTTCAAGCTAAGAATATATTCACCATAACGAGGATGATCTCCATTTATAGCGGGGACTTCACTGACCTTCCATGGACTATCAATTTCTTTCAATTTCAATCGCATGTCATTTTTACCAAGATGAGACCAACTCATTTTTGTTAAACTTTCAATTTATGTGCTCGAACAACTAACTAGACGTCAAGACGTGAGTGATTATCGATTGTTGAATGAAGAGTAACAAGTGTTGAGTTGAAGTGTACATTTGAGGATCTACTATAATAACAGATGATGTCGAGACAACTTGGGGGGATAAACCACGTGGCTAGCGGCGACGCCCGCAGAGCGCGGGATGACAGAATTTGGCTAAGTTCAAACGCGGGATGACAGAATTGGGAGAAATCGACTTTTTTTCCGTGTTTTCGTGTTTTTTCGCGCTCACCAGTTCCGTGACATGTTATTTGGCTCAGAGACTTCCCTGCCACCTATAGGGGAGAAGAATTCGGACGTCCCCGGTCCACTGTGCACTTTTACAACTTTTACGTTCTACGCATCGTCGCTACGCCCTTCGCGGCCCACACTTGGGGATACTTCTCGGACGCCCCGGTCCACCGTGCACCTTTACAACTTTTACGTTCTACGCATCGTCGCTACGCCCTTCGCGGCCCACACTTGGGGATACTTCTCGGACGCCCCGGTCCACCGTGCACCTTTACAACTTTTACGCTCTACGCATCGTCGCTACGCCCTTCGCGGCCCACACTTGGGGAGACTCTTGGACACCCCTGTCTACTGTGCTGTGCATCCCATACGGTCTTCTACTACACACTACATTAATCTCTTTGGCTCTCTTCAAACGTGCACCCATAAATTACTACAGACTGTTCACATGTGGGTTTTTCGGTACATACCGCCAATTAGCTGCTGACCACATGCCCTCTTTCAGCTATCATAATGAGTCTCACACGTCGGCAGATTGCACAGCAGGCACGACGTGAGCGGGAACGAGGTCTGAGAGAGCAATCTGAACTGGGAAATGAGGACATACCAGGTCCTTCAAGACGGGAAATTGGACAGCGTTCCAGGCGCGATCAGGAACGAATTGACTCACATTGCCGTGCTCGAAGAGACTACATTGGTGGGACTTCTGTTCATCAGTTGGGCCGTTGTGAGGTCCCATGTCCAAAATGTGCCGCATTGCACTGGCTTGAGGAACGTGCTATCAACATTGCAGCAGGAGGGGAACGCTCATCCTTGGCTAATCCCCTGTTCTCTGGCTGTTGCTCAAATGGGGCGGTGCAGCTCCCACTTCCATTGGACCCTCCACTTGAACTTCGAGATCTCTTAACAGATCAAACACATCGTAAGCTGGCATTATTTAATTCAATGGATGGAACACTGACTGTCATTAGAAGGTAAGCTGCGACGGGAGCAGCTCCGAAATTATAATAATTCTCTTGCTTTCACCTCAATGGGTGTTGACAAGCAAGACATGCAAGTTTGGGGACCTCAAGGGATATACACCTTTCGTATTGGGGGACGAGCATACCACCAGATAGGGGCATTACTTCCTGAAGCTGGCGAACATCCCCGATTTGCTCAAGTCTTCCTGGCGGGTCTGTCTGAAGCAGAACAGGCTGCTCAACGAAACATTCACATCCGAGGGAGAGGTGAAGAGGGTGTTCTGACCCGCCTGGCTCAAATGATAGAGAGGGTGAACCCATACTATGCTGCTTTCAAGACTTTCCGTGACCGTGACAGGGAATCCGAAGAGGACACCCCGATTCTGTATCTTACAGTTCTGAATCCTCTGCAAAATGACCCTCGCAGATATAACCGACCTACATCAGATGAAGTTGCATGTGTATATGTTGCCGATGAAAATGAACCGTCCCCGGGTCGTCACATTCAAGTTTATCTGCGAGGCGGTGGGGTTCGCAACATTAGTGAACTCCACTCAGCATATCTTCCCCTGCACTTCACTCTGATATACCCACACGGAGAGCCGGGATGGCATCCAAGAATCCCTTTGGCTGGGCAACCACTGGGAGATGATGACGAGATTGGTGAGGGAGAAGATATTGAGGATGGAAATGCTGGAGATCGTGGATTGGTAGCTGAAGTAAGACGCTATGGGCGTGGAGGATCTAAGCGGGTGACTCAAGCACAATTTGCAACCTATTATCTCTTCAAACGATTGGGCAGTTTCAACACCGCACTCTATTGTGGACGACTCTTTCAAGAACTATTGGTGGATCAGTGGGCTCAGACCGAATCAAACCGTCTACGATGGATCCGAGAGAATCAGACCACTCTCCGAGCTGATTCATATAAGGGATTGGTTGATGCGGTTGATGCTGGGATTCCTTTGGCTGATGTAGGCAAAAAAGTGGTGCTCCCCTCGACATTTGCCGGTTCGCCACGTCAGATGCACGCCCTGTACCAGGACGCCATGGCTATTGTCTCACATGTGACAAAGCCTGACCTATTTGTAACAATCACTTGCAATCCCACTTGGCCGGAGATCACTCAAGAGTTGGAACCAGGACAGACCGCCCAAGACCGCCCTGACTTGGTTTCACGAGTCTTTGCACTCAAGCTTGATGCTATGCTGCATGAGTTTTTCAAACTGGGGGTATTGGGGAAGGTGTGTTCAATTCATAATTTCCTGCTGAGTGTCTACTGATCTGAAGGTGGTTGCAAGGATCTGGGTGATCGAATTTCAAAAACGGGGACTTCCGCATTGTCATCTTCTCATGTGCCTTACACCAGACGATAAGCCTCGCACACCAGCCGATGTTGACAAGATTGTATGCGCTGAACTCCCCTGTGAGGAGACTCAGCCTGTGCTTTTCAAGGTTGTTACGTCCTGTATGCTGCATACCTGCAGTGATCGATGTCAAGCCCAGATGCGACGTGATGGCCGATGTTCAAAAAAGTTCCCCTGGGCTTTTCAACCGGAAACAACAACGGAACAGGATGGATACCCTATTTACCGAAGACGAGATAATGGGCGGTCATGGACCAAGAATCGCATTACATATACCAATCAGCATGTGGTTCCGTATAATCCGTATTTATCAGCCCGATTCAACGCCCATATCAATGTTGAGGTGTGCACTTCAATCAGTGCAGTGAAGTATATGTTCAAATATGTCTACAAGGGTCATGATCGGGCAAATGTGGCGGTGGTTCCTAATCAAGTGGATCTCGATGAAATCAATCGGTATGTGGATGCACGCTGGGTTTCAGCATCCGAATGTGAGTCATAGGGAGGATTGTACTGCTGAGCTAACATTGTATCAGCGGTTTGGCGACTGAGCGGTAATCCCATGCATGGACACTTTCCACCCGTTGAACGACTTCAGCTCCATCTTCCAGACGAAGATCAAGTGCAATTTGTGCCTGAAGACGAACGTGCAAATCTACCAGAGGAACTTCAGCGGAACAGCCGGTTATTGGGGTACTTCAAAGCTTGCGAGACCTATTCAGAGTTACTCCGTGACAAGATATACGCCGATGTACCCGAGTTACTCTGTTGGCACGCCAAGGAACGTGCTTGGAAGCCTCGGAAACGTGGAACAGCTATTGGGAGAGTGTATTTTGCCGGTCCTCAATCTGGGGAGCTCTATTACCTGCGACTTCTGCTCTATCATGTTCCCTGCCCAACATCTTTTGAAAGTCTCCGTACCGTTGATCATACTCTGCATCCGACCTTTCGAGCTGCATGTGTTGCGCTTGGCCTACTTGATGACGACCGTGATCTTGATGAGTGTCTTACTCAAGCCTCAACATATGCCTCAGGATCCCAGTTACGACGTCTGTTTGTGATCATCTTGGTGGAAAATCAACCATCCAGCCCGGCGGACCTGTGGGAGACACACTCAATGGCGTTGAGTGATGATTGTGTTCACATGCTTCGGCAGAAGGGATGGATGGAGAACCCAAGTGTGGAGGAGCGGCTCTCCTACGCGTTACATCTTCTGGGGGGTTTGCTAGAAGAGAGGGGGAAGAGTCTGGCAGGGTGTTATCTGCCTGAACCAACAGTAGTCTTTCCAGAAGACACTGATAGCCGCATTATCAATGAAGAACTGGCTTACGATATGCAAGAATTGCAACAGACCAGCACCCTCAACATGGCAATTGCAAATCCAGAACAGCAGGCAGTCATCAATGGTGTGGTTCAGGCAACGAGAGCCCGCACACCCACGTGCTTTTTCCTTGATGGTCCAGGTGGTTGCGGCAAGACATTTGTGGAGAACACGGTAGCAGCGGTTTTGCGAGGGGAAGGTGACATTGTCTTGATGGTTGGATCTTCAGGTATATGTGCAATCCTTCTAAAGGGTGGTCGTACAGGTGAGCCGTGTCAAATTCATTGAGTGCAGAGTTGACACACAGCCCATTCCCGGTTCAAAATTCCAATCGACATTCATGGCGACTCGCAGTGCAGCATCTCAAAACAGAGTGAACTTGCAAAGCTGTTCTTGCGTACCAGGCTCATCATATGGGACGAGGCGCCCATGCAGCATCGACACTGTGCAGAGGCGGTGGAACGCATGCTTCGGGATGTGCGGGGTTCTGAAGAGCCATTTGGAGGGGTGGTAGTGGTATTTGCAGGAGACTTTCGACAGTGTTTGCCAGTGGTGCCAAAAGGGAGTCAAGCACAGATCAAGAGCGCATGTTTGACCAGCTCACGTCTGTGGCAGAAGGTAAAACGGCTCAAACTTACTATCAACATGCGGCTCCAGAGTGCAGAATTGTCTGATATTGAGAGGGAGGAAGCAAGTGGGTTTGCAGAGTGGCTTCTCAGGGTAGGGGATGGTTTGGTAGATGGGGAACAGTCAGACGCTTTGAGAATACCTCCGGAATTGCGGGTGGAGTCCACAAATGAGTTGCTGCAGCATGTCTATCCCAACCTGGCTCAGAGTTTTCCGACAACAGAAGCTGCTCTTCAGTACTTTGCAGACCGTGCAGTTCTTGCGCCAACCAATGCCGAAGTTGATGAATTAAACAAGACCCTCCTTGGCCAGCTTAGTGGGGAATCTCGGACGTACCTCAGTGCGGATTGGATCGTGGAGAATGATGGTGCTTCAAACCCGCGTGCTCGGCCTTTGAATCAGCAACTCTGGCCCATTGAATATCTCAACTCAATCACAATTGGCGGATTCCCTCTTCACAAGACAATTGTAAAAGTTGGGGGAACAGTTCTTCTACTCCGTAACTTGGACCCAGCTGCGGGTCTTTGCAACGGTACTCGGATCTATGTGACACGTCTTCTACCAAATGTTATTGAGGGGTGCATACTTGGTGGTGACTTCCATTCGAATAAGTGTTTCATCCCGCGTATCAAACTCGACACAGCAAAATCGTCCAACCTACCTTTCACCTTGCGTCGTAGTCAATTTCCCATACGAGTCGGTCTTGCTCTCACAATCAACAAGGCGCAAGGGCAATCTCTTGCAACAGTCGGCTTATGTCTCTCAAAGCCGGTATTTACCCATGGTCAGCTGTATGTTGGTCTCTCTCGCGCACGGTTCAAGAACGGTCTCAAGGTTTTGCTGGAGGATTCAGAGGAGGGGAGAAGGGGTGAGACGAAGAATATTGTGTATAAGGATGTGCTCTTGGCAGCCAGGGCTGCTTAATATGTAATGTGTATAGGTTTGCAGTTTAGATTAGACTTATAGTGTGTAGTGTATATAGTGTAAGTAGCCTCCCGCATGTGGGGAACTGGGGCGGAGAGGGGTGAATTGTAGTCTGGGTGGTGGGGAACTGGGGTGTATGCTATGCATGAACTTGGAGAAATTTGGCATGGTTCAACTAGGGAACTGGGGCATACACTAAATTCATCTTGACCATCTGCAGTTGCTCCCGTGAATTTCACGGGTTGGAACACTAGTACTTGATAGTAGTTATATTCCCACACCACAAGTTTGAACGGAGTTTGAAAATAGAGGATCAAGGATGGTTTGGGTGAATTACCCCATTGAGAGTCAAAGCGGTGAAATTTCCTTCTTGTCTTCTCACGTTTTAAAGTTTAAACAGTTTCATGATTGAGGCTGTGTAAGACAAAAGAGGTCGTGTCAAATATCACAGATTGTCAAAGGAGAAATTTCGTAGTATACTCTGCTGATCGTCAGATAAACTCAACTTCCCAATGAAGTCTTCGAATTAAGAGTCTAAATTCAAGACAACAATTCTCCTCTAGGATTCCGAGATGAGCCTGTTGCCTTCATGTCCCCTCTGAAAAATAGACCACTGAAAGCCTTCGTGACCCAGGCTCGAAACCTTTCTCACCGACAAGTAGAGATACACAAAAGATGAAAGGGAAGAATACGTAGAAGATACATGGGTATAGATACTTACCTACAGTATGATTCGATCCATACGAGATCAGCCTTTCATTCCTCGAAAACTTCCCCCATCCCTCTGACACCCTCCATGACATTAGCGAATTCTTCCATTGAAGTAAAAGTCCAATCAGCATCTGCACTTTGACCCGCTATACCGATAATCGAATCCTGTCGGTCGATCCACACCGCCGCCAAGCCCATTTTATGTGCTCTACGAATCAGTGTGATCAATAAGGATGGACAGAGAGGAGCCGCACGGGATGATATCGTGATATTTTGAGTTAGCCACACATACCACTTCCTGTGGTTGAATGTCGAATGTTTCGTCTAGATTTCGGAGAGCGTATTGGAAGTTTCGTAAATCGGGTTTGTACGTTCCGACTGAGATGTCAGCCGCATACTGACTGCAAAGCAATCATGAACGGGTTGACGGTCTATATTGAGAGTGACAAGTAGTGTTCACCTCAGAGCAAGCCAGACGGAAGGGCACTTGAAAGGTTATCACAGGAATGGCGGATGTGTGGGAAGGGTTGTCTGTGAGACGAGAAGACAAGGGGTACGTAACCAGACGAAAGACTCACTATCCTCCGCAGTGTATACAGCATCAAAAGTCCACTCACTTTCCAATTTCCGTCGTGTCCTGTGTATCAACAACCCTCTTCCGCTCACTTCGGTCGGGCGGGGGAATACCAGTAGAAAGGGTCGAGATAAACATCATTTCCTGATAAAATACGATGGCTAGTTTTACGGATACTGGAAGGGGTTCGCGTGAAAGATGAAATTCACCTGGAAAAACTCTCATTATCCACATTACTCAAAATCACCAATTTCAATCCTAGAGCTTTCAGTCTACCGAGGGCAGCGGAACTATCGGCAAAAGCTGGCCAATCTCCAATCGATCTTGCGAAAGCTTTAGCGTCGTCTGATCATCAACTTCTAATCAGGAAGGAGCTCAAATAATGGGGCATAAAAGGAGAAACAACACACCGGGGTCGTAATAGAGTCTCAATCTAGCAGCTAGAGATTGATACGCCAGTTCAAGACTATGAGTCAGACCCACATCTTCTCTCTCCTCACCATTCTGAAGCTACTGTAGTACGAGGGCGTATGAATACCAGGCTTTGGGTAGGCAGGCGATAACACCGTAAAGATCGTAGAATAACCCATGGGGATCTCGTACGGGTAGTAAGTGGTAAATTAGTAGGACGATGGAGGGAGACCAGCCGAACAACTCACACATCAGGATACAACATCCCTTTATTCTCCGCCTGTATCACTGCTTCTATCTGTCCGAGATGTTGAAACACCACCTTAGGTTCTGGACATGTTTTCTGGGAGAAGAGAGGTTGTAAAGCTATATAAATACCTCTTTCCCAGTCCTACTCGTCAGATCTTCCCTCTGGTATTGTCCTATCCTGAGACTGCCTTGTCGGAAGAAGAAGGGGAAGATGAAACAAGCTTCACTATCAGAGTCTAATCGTCAGCTCGCACACAGATGATAAGAGTAGCAGCTTACACCGTAACAATCAAATACTAAACCTCTTTCCATCAGCGATTGTCCTCCTTCACTCTTTCCCCCCACGCCTCCAGACCCGAGAACACAGGTTGACTCACTTGTACCTACCCAGAGCGTGATTAGGTAGAGGTATATGACTCCCGAAAGGGAGAGATTGTGAATGTCTGGATAATCTGGAAGATCCGTCAAACGAGCTGCTCCTATATGACATTGTGTTTGATGTGTTGACGATCTTCCTCCTCGTCAACGACTTGATACGATGTCTGACTACTTTCGTCTGTTATACTCGTCTGATACGTACTGCAAAACTATATAGACTGAGGTATGGTGTTAGTCATCACGTAAGATGTACAGTATGGTGTACGCCCCGCAACTTATAAATAGTCGGACGTCTTGTGACCCGGAGGTACAAAGTTTCCGTCGGAAACAAGACTAGGTTTACTTCATCGACTAAAAGGCGATTGGAAACGGGCGTCGGCTGTCACGTGCCTACCTCATAGACATGTAACAGAGGCTTGTTAGGCATGCACTGGTGCTCAACTCCTACCAACTTAAGTGGTGCCCTGCAATCCAATTGTTTGCTATTAATCACTGTAGCGTGACAGCTATTCATGCAGCTGTCGGTGATGTCTCAATACCTGCAAAGGAAAATCACTGAGAGGTCTGGTGAGGTTGTACATACACATTTGACCAGAGAAGGATCCTATGAGGAGAGAGGTTCAGGGGAAGAACATGTATTCTACTCTGGTGACTTTCTGGTAGTTTCTCCTAGACTCCCTCCAAGCTGCTAGGGATGGATCTTGCCTTCATTTCTCAAAGCAATGCATCGAGGTTAACTATCAGCTATCAAGGTGACCTGCATAGCCTGGTTGGGGGGAGGGAGGGGGGGAGGGAGGGGGGGAGGGGGTTGGACGGAATGCGACGGCCTCTTGGCGCACCACCCTTTTCCCCTCTGCGCACCACCCTGCCACAACACGTGGTCAGGTACACATAGGCCCCGGCGTTTCAGTAACGCCGGGGACGCGACCATCTGACGAACATTGACTCGCCACTGATCGGGATTTCAGTAACGCCGGCCGACACGACAACGCGACATGTCTGCTCGCTACCAACCAACCTGTCCTCACCATCACTAATCTCTTTATCGTCATTTTACTAGTAAACTCACGCTCTTTTTCACACACACTGTCTCTACTCGTCTCAAGGATCATTTTGATACTCTTCTCACTCTTTTATGACTACTTTTCACCCACTTCTGGCCCTTCGCCTTCTCAACCTGCGCCCTCCTGACTACCACCCATCAAATTGCTATAACTTCTTACAGAGCAATCGTGGTACTCTCACGTCTTCTCGACGCTGTTCTCCTGCTCTCTGCGAGTCTGTGAGTACTCTTTTTATTGAGAAATGTAAAAAACTGATTTTCATAGGTTCTCGTCATCATCATCACCCTCGCCACCCAACTTCTCTCGGTGAAAAACTTTTTTTGCTCTTCAGCAACACTTCTTCAGCCTTTGTCAATAACTCGACACTGTTCTCCTGTTCGTCCTGAGCTGTGAGTACTTGTTTTATCATCAGAAGTGAAATGCTGACTTCAATAGGCCTCCTCAACATCAAAATCCTCGCCACCAAACTGCACGAACAACCGAACTGCTCGAAAAATCTTTTTTCCTGCGATAACACATATGCAGCGACACTGATCCCTGGTCCTTCCTGAGCTGTGAGTAGTTGATTATTATCAGAAGTGAAATGCTGACTTCAACAGGCCTCCTTCACATCATCCTCGCCACCAAACTGCTCGAACAATCAAACTGCTCGAAAAAACTTTTTTTTGCTGTTCAGCAACACATCTTCAGCCTTTGACAATAATTCGACACTGTTCGCCTGTTCTTCCTGAGCTGTGAGTACTTCTTTCATCGTCAGAAGTGACAATCTGACTTCCATAGGCCTACTGAACATCAAATCCTCGCCACCGAACTCCTCTCGAAAAATTCTTTTTCCTGCGATAACACATATTCAGCCTCTATCGATAACTCGACACTCTTCTCCTGGCCCCTGCGAGTCTGTGAGTACTCTTCTCATCGAAAAATGTAAAAATCTGACTTTTACAGGATCTCGTCATCATCATCATTTTCGCCACCGACATCTCGACCAAAAACTTTTTTTACTCCTCAACAACAGCACCCCCGGGGTTCTAATTTGTCGACATGTATTCTGCTGGTCTTGGGCTACGCGTGAGTACCATTTTTACTGCATGAAGTGGCCATTCTGACGAGTTAGATGTCATCACCAATCCTGGTACCATCATCACCGATCCTCGTCCCTTTTTCACCCTCTCCTTCGATAAAACTCAGTCCTCAACGCTCTCTCTCTCCTGATCTGGTACCAGAAACCCAGCGACATCGCGACCACGACTATAATGATGAGGAACTCGATGATCTCATGGCAGAGATCAATCTCGACATTCGTGAGGACACAAGATTTGCTCCTGTGGCTCACCACATCCACCCTCTCCTCGATCTCGAACCTCAACCTACCATGGACGCTGCTCGACAACACACTCAGTCTGTTGGCATGGACTCAATGGTCTGCATTGTCACTGAACGAAGTAATAAAGAAAAAGGCAAATTACAACTTCGATGTGCTTTCGGTGGCGAGGGAAGAACCGGCCGTCCTGTCGAATATGAACTGGTTCGAAAAAGAGATCATACCACCAAGCAAAGAGGATGTCCCTTCTCTATTACCTGGCGCAGAGAGCGAAAATCTGCTGCTCGAGAGGCCCACCGTGATCCCCTTTGGTTCCCTCACATCGATAACCACTCTCATAACCATGAACCTGTCCCTCTGCTTCACTTCTCTTTTATTCGACAAGCCAGTCGTTCTCCAGAGGTTCTAGAATACATCAAACAGCTACTAGCCAGTGAACACACTCTTCGAGGCATCGTCACTGATGTTCAAGCTCGATTCGGTGACAAAGTCTCCCTCACATCTCGAGATGTCCTCAATATTCGTTATCGTCATGAAAAAGAAGTTCGCCTTGGTCTTTCAGCAACTGAAGCAGCTATTCGACAGCTCACCAACAACAACGATCTCTTTAAAGCGTTCACCAACAGCGAAAAAGAGCTCTGTGGCCTCGTCTTTACCACTCCGTCAGCCAGAGCCATGACTCATTCGTATCCTACCGTTCTCTTCATGGATTGTACTTATCGAACAAATCGTTATCGTCTACCAATGCTTCATATTGCTGGATTTACTGCTACAAATCAAACCTACACCTCTGCAATTGCGTTTTTAAGTCGAGAAGTGACCGAATGGTATTCCCTCGCGATCAAAAGTTACCTCGAACTCATGGGACCGATCAACAACGATATCAAAGTCATCGTGTGTGATCGTGAGACTGCTCTTCATAATGCTCTGACCCTACACCTACCCCATGTCCACCTTAATTATTGTCGCTGGCATCTTCGAGAGAACATCAAGGTCAACTGTCGAAAAAGTTTTCAGAGGGTGTATAAAGAGAATTGGGTGGAGAAGTTATCTGAATTTGGGGACTACTGGTTAAGCAACATAGCAAAAGCAGCTACTGAGATGTCATTGGAAGGGGCTCTGGTCACCATGGCTAGTCAATGGAGTGGAGTAGAATTTGACTCTGCGAGGGCTTATGTGAGACAGATGGTAGACGATCACAAGACACACTTTGTCTCTGCTTTCATCGACAAACATCCTCATCTTGGACAAACAGCAAACTCTCGACTCGAAGGGAACCACCGAGCCTTCAAGAGTCGTCTTAAAAACGCATATAGCGATTTCTATGGCCTACTGCGAACTGCCCGGGGTTTTTTCGACGACCAATGTGACATGATAATCAACAAAATGGCTATGGATCGTCTCATACAGAATACCTCTCTCCATCAAATCTTCTCTCATGTCAAGAATCGAGTCTCTGGTCGTGCTGTCTTTCTCATGCAGAAGCAGTATAAAAAAGCCTCTGCTCTGGTCAGTGGTAAAGAGGGGTTGGATGACGAGAACGAATTTTACACATCCTCAATTGGCCTCCCTTCTGTTCGAAATATCGCCGATATCCTGAACAGAGACGGCTACATACTCCTTGCTCCTATCCATCGTCATTGGCGTCTTCTTAACCCCATGTCCTGGCCCACCACCATCGAACAGGTTACTGCGAAAGTCATTGGAGATTTTACTGGGGTTCATCAACTCTTAGGGCCAGAGTGGGACATCGATAATGATACCAACAGAATTCGTGACCCTCACCTGCGAAGAAACAAGCTGGCTTTAGCCAGGAAAGCCACTCAGAACCCCTCTGCTACTCAGATCGACTTGACCAAGGATAATGACGATAATAATGACCATGACGATAATGACGACCCAGTACCTGTCGAAAATCCCTTTTTCTTACCTCCTCCTCCTACTCGTCTTCCTTCTCCTAAAAGAGGGGTAAAATCGAATTCTACACAGCTCGCAGATGATGTCTCTCACACTGGCCGTCTCCACACTCAGTCTGAGAAATTCATTGGAGTCAAGAAAAAGGCGAATCGTCCCTGTCCCCTGTGTGGTTCAAGAAGTCATGGTCCTAAGAAGTGTAAAAGGGCTAATGAACATCGAGAGAGGGATCCTGAGGCCTATGATCGCGAGGTAAAGGCGTATGATGCTGGAGAAACGACCTGGACAGAGGGGTCGGTAATGGGGACTAATGCTGCTCTTGAGAAGAGACTAGCAGAGGTTCAGGAGATGGTTTCTGGCCTGGCTAAGAGTATCCAGGAGGACAGAGATAAAAGGGAGAAGGAAAATCGGCCTGGAGTGGTGAGGACAGAGGACAGGATGGTGAGAACAGGAGAAATGATCACTAGGACAGGTTATTTGGTGGGTTTCTCATATGATAATGACATTTCTCCTTCCCTCCTTCTCCCCCTCTCTGTCCTGCAGTCATTCCTGGCTATATTGCTCTGTCTCTGTCTATATTGCTCTGTCTCTGTCTATAATGGCCTCACGATCTCGAAAATTTTCACTCTTCTCTTAGTCTCTTACTTCTAAAAGTTTCCTGCAAGCTGATTGGTCCAGGAGACACCAGGAAATGGCCAATATCAACCGAATGTGAGTCTCTAATACTGCATTTTCGGCTGTATCCGATGGGGGGTCTCTAATGAACAGGTACCCCCATTTTTCGACATTTATCCTCCTGAGGAGAGGTACCTACCACCCCCCCCTCTTCCACCTACTCTCCCTCCTCTATCCTCTCAATATTGGCCTCCCTATCCTTCCCAGGGCTCTTCTAGACATCCCTATGGCTCATATTATCCTCCTGGACATTGATAGATAGGAGAATGCATGGACAATGACCGGAAATGTCATGGTATAGCTAATAATGACATTGACGATGTAAGAGAAGAGTGAGCAGAGGTCGCGGCGTTACTGAAATCCCGATCAGTGGCGAGTCAATGTTCGTCAGATGGTCGCGTCCCCGGCGTTACTGAAACGCCGGGGCCTATGTGTACCTGACCACGTGTTGTGGCAGGGTGGTGCGCAGAGGGGAAAAGGGTGGTGCGCCAAAAGGCCGTCCGGAATGCGTGGATCTCGCATGTGAGCCACGTGTATACCATGTGAAATCACTCGTTTCCCTGTTGATATCCCTTGATGATCAGTTGGGAAACCCTTCCAGGCACTTACGTAGAAAATACCCTGAATCACCCCCAGTAGATTTGCGGGGCTGGCGCCCGCAATTAGATTTGATCCCGCTTCTTCTCTTCCCCCTTACGAAAACGTGGCTTCATTCAACTTGATGTTACCCGACGAGTAATTCGCGCACAATACGTTTTTGATTCCTGCACAATACTGCCACCAAGTCACGTGATATTTTGGCTTATCAGTAAGCCAAAAATACCACGTGTACCAATGCACAGATCTCCCTTCCACCGACCAGGACACCTGTCAAAGTTATGAACATCTCTTTTTTTTTTCTGTCCATGATTCATAATGCATTTTTGTTGAAAACAGTATAGATGTGTAGAAAAGATCTGTCTCTATCAGCTATGAAAGAGTTTGAGTCAAATACATGAATACTCACCGAGATACATTGATCTACCTTCCACCCCTCTTGTCCATGAATTTTCAGCTGTCTCGCGGCCTATACTCCACAGAGGGGAATTCCTGTCTCATACCACCGTTCCTGGCCGCTAGGACACTCCTCTCTGCAGAGTTTGAGCTATTTCCGAGCCCCTTTTGAACATACGGAGGCGGGTACACAGGTGGATAAAATGTAGGTGGAAAATTCTAATAATTCGACACGGGAGGGTACGTAGGTGGCCTCTGGTACCAATTAGATGGCCCAGAGGCTCCTGGGACGAACTGGGGAGAAGGATGGAAGGGATAAGGATGATATTGAGGTATCAACTGCATAAATCAGCCAGGAACTTTCATAGATCGACCAGCAGAAGTGGTAGGACAGATTTCAATGAATTGCGTACCTGCAGGCCTGTTCCCATTGTCTCTGAGGCCGTCCTCACCATCTCAGGAGCTGTCCTTGCTATCACAGGCGGTGTCATCATCACCAGAGGCCTGTCACGGCCGTCGAGCAACTTCTTCCTAATAGACCGACGGTCGACGAACCTCGGCTAACTTCACGCTTCTGAGTCGATGTCTCACCCAACCAGGAGGGCGCAGACGTCGAAAGGAGTGTAACTACGGCGTACTTCGCCGTAGTTACTCTGACTAAGGTTTTGTTCTATTGATGGCGATGTATCTCGATGTATAGCTATCTCTATTTGTCTTTTACTACTGACAACAATCAAGGATCGCTGAAGAACTTCAGCGATCTTCTCAGCTAATATAACCTATCCCTCCTAGACGTTCATCCAACCCTCCCACGCTTTGACGTACTTCAACACACTTCGTCCAACTTCTCCGAACCCCGGCCACCCTCCTCCTCCTTCGACTAACTCCGTCTAATATCGCCGCACTTCTGCTCCCATTGTCCCTACCTAGCCTAACTCCGCCTAACTTTGCCGCACTTCTGCTCCCATTGTCCCTATCTACCCTAACTTCATCTAACTTCGCCGTACTTGGTCTCAGAGGTCCTGAGTTACGTGTAGAGTAAAGAGGTTTGAGTCGTGATGGGGTTTTGATGGTCAAAGGAGGGTCGTTGTTGGTGGAATAATCGAGGTGTCACGACGTAGTTCGTGACAAGGCCTCTCCACCATCCTTTCTCTGTTATCCTGAGCCTCTGCTGCAATTCGAGCCAATAACACTTGCTCCCTCGCTGCCACTGCTTTCTTAGCCCCACACATGTAGCTACTAGCATGTCGGTTGGTACACAGGTCACATTTTGGCTGCTGAGGACGTGCAGGAGCAGATTGCTCGGCTTGACTGAGGATCCTACCTGTAGTAGCTCGTGGAGGGCCAGTATTCGAAGTACTCAAGGTTCTACATCGTTTTAAAGGGGGTGGAGCAGTAGAAGGTGGCCTAGGAGGTGTGTACATTGGTGTAGGTTGAACTACAGTAATTCCTGAGGCCTGGAGAGATGGCTGAGAAGGAGGAAATTGTGTTGCAGAGGCTCGAAGTGCTTGTCTCGCACGGAGGCCAAGATTTACAGGTGGATCAAGAACGAACCTATCTGCAGACGAATTCCTGGCCTCGAATTCGTCATCAAGACGATAAACACCAGTGGCCCGAAAAGCAGTTGGTTGACATCGATTATTCGTGTCTTCAAGAAGTTTTTCAAAGCCGTTGTGAGGTAGCAATCGCCAATGCTGATGTATCTTGTCTATCGTGAGTACACCATCCCGCTTGATAATATCAACCAATGTGTGAGCACATGGTAGCCCCATTGAGTCGAAAAATCGTCCTGAGCAGTGAGAAGCAGTGTTGGCTTGTTGAAGAAGTTTACCAGCGACTCGAACTTGGTGGACTAGCTCATTGGCAGCGAATTTTGAGATATCTCTTCAAATAATACTGAGTACTCTGTCCCCCAGAGCATTTCGTACCCTTTGCTGACCATCTTTCAATGTAATTCGATCCCACTGTTTCTCCAGGAAGGTATGTGTCTTTAAAACAGCATGCCAGAGCGTACCTGTATGAGTCTCTAGGTATTCTTTCAATGCTTGATGTTCACCCTCATTGCGAGAAGTCGTGTGTTGTCCAAGATTACGATTTCTGTTGGTAAAAGCATGAGCCCATTTCTCCTTCGAACCTAGTAGTCGTTCTAGGTACCGAATTACCGGCCCATGAGCAGGTAAACAGTACTTCTCTCGCATTTTATCCATCCCTTGCTGAAGTTTGAATTCGTCTTTTGCTTCTACCACTTCTCTCATCCACATATCACCAAACTCTGACCTTGCTTGGACAGGATCCTCTTCATCTTTAAAGCATTTCGACTGATCACATGTGTGTTTGACGTCTTCCCGTAGATGCCATGTGCAGAATTGCTGTTTTACATTGGGGAGGTGTTTTAGAAGGGCATTGGCTAATGCAACTTCTCTGTCGGTTATAACGACTTGAATTCGACGATGTAGTGGTCCCATTAGATCGAGAAACGCTTTGAGAGCAATGTCGTACCAATCTGTCGTCTCTCGATCCAGGAAAGCAATTGCTGCAGTAAAAGTGAGGTTTGTTGCAGTCATTCCAGTAATATGAAAGAGAGGACGACGATAACGATTGGTACGATAAGTGCAGTCCATCATAAGGACAGTGGGGTATTGGTGTAGCAAGGCCCGAGCCTTTTCGGTGGTATAAACCAACCCCAAAGTTTCGTGGTGGCTATTAACTAAGCCTTTATAAAGTCGTTTCTCCTTCTCCAACATGATAAACAAGCTTTCAGTCACACTTCGTCCTTCCTGTCGGTTTTTCTCATACCTAGACTTGAAATTGTTTACATCAATCGGTGTCAGGAGGGGTTTATCGGGATGTTCTTTGAGAAGTTCGATCATTTGATGGGGTTTTAGGCCTTGATCTATGTATTCCTGCAGAAGTCTATTGATTTCGGGGGTACGAGAAGTTTTGCGAAGATGAGACAGGAGTAAATTCTTTATTGGAGGGTGATTATGATCATTACACATCGTGACCAGAAGGACAGGACGAAATCCATCGGCCAGAGCATCTTCCTGACAAACTCTTGATAGCTTGATCTTGAAGGGACAGTCAGTTCGCTGGGTATGAGGCTGACGCTGTCGAACTTGGTCATATCGAGAGGTACGAGCAGATCGATATTCTCCACTGCAGACACATTTTAATACCATGTACTGAACTTCTTGGTTGCTTGAGCTGGTAACCAGTGCGAACCCCTTCTCTCTTGCTATGACAGATAGCTTTTCACGAGCTATATTGACGTTTGGCTGTGGTGGAAGGCGTATAGGTTCATGAATTAGGTTGGAAACTCGTTCATGAGGGCCAAATTTGTCCTCAACGAACAGGTTTGGTGTATCTTCTTTGCTGTCCTGTGACGAGTTTTCAGAGCTGTTCGATTGATTTGGCTGGGAAGATGAAGCTTCAGGAGAATCAACGTCTTCTGGTTCTGAGTTGATGTCTCTGAGAGGAGTAAGAGAGGGACGAGGCGAAGGTGTTTGCTGAGTTTCGGGGATTATGATGATAGACTGGCTGCGTTCGCGTTTAAGAGGAGGGAGGGATGGTGGGAGGCAGATGACAAGTTCCTCGTCACTAGAAGTGTCACTGAGTTCAATGGGCTGAGATTCGGACATGTTTAGATAGAGTTTTGTTGACAGGGAGGCTGAAAACTTTAGCTCTGTTCAAGGGGGGGGGGGAGGGGAAGGGAGACACGTACAAATTGACCAGTAGGTAATCTTTCTACTTCTGATAGAGTGTTTTCTAAGGTAATAAGGGGTGCTGATTCAGATTCTTGGGTTATTTTAGCCGTATGTGATGTCCTGTGAGCTGCAGAGGATAACGATTGAGAGGTATGAACTTGGGGTTGAATGAAATGATGTTGAAAGATGATGGCGAATTGGTACACGTGGTATTTTTGGCTTACTGATAAGCCAAAATATCACGTGACTTGGTGGCAGTATTGTGCAGGAATCAAAAACGTATTGTGCGCGAATTACTCGTCTGTTACCCTTCTCTAGATCATTCAAATCAACCTTGAAGATATATACAAGGGGTATCAGAACATCGTCCGCTATGTCTCCTTATACTGTCGTTTCTACTGATCGTAAGTCTTACCTTTCCTCGAACTTGAGAGTTGTATCCAGCCGTTGCTCTTTTTTGGTCAGAGAAGAACAGAGAAGAACAACGTTGACAGGAAAGAAGCTCCAGCTGCTATCGGTCCTTATGTCCAGGTGAGTCTTACTTTTTATCCCCGCACCCAATGAAAGATTATAGAGCTCTAGTTTTCTATCTATAATGAGAGTCCCGGGTGAAGGGTGTTCAGTGAGAAAACGGGTAAGCTGCACGGAGGAAGAGCCCAGGGTGCAAGGGAAGGGATATGATATGTGAAGGTAAAAGACACTGAAAGCTTAGGCGGTCAAATATAATGGTCTCATTTACGCTTCCGGATGTATCCCTCTGGATCCAAAAACGATGAATGTTGTCGAAGGTGGAATTGAAGAACAGACCGTGAGTTCTTTCTTTCCTCCTGTCATAGTGTATCTCCCAGGACAAGTTTTCAAGTCGATATCACCACTCGAACGTTCGGGGCGAAATGGTATGAATTGAACATGTTGTCTATAATCCCTTCACTCCCGCCCCCAAAGACTTCACCAAACTCAGATGTTCTTATGCTTCTCACTCGGGAAAGAATGGGGGGGGGGGGGGGGGGTAGTAACAAGGAGAAGGCAGGAACGAGAAATGAGGTTTGAGGCATAAGCTCATCCCTAGAATCAAGTGTTCAAAAATGTTTCCGCGGTATTATCTGCATCTTCATCATCTCCTTCTTCCGTTTTGAAAACTACAGTCTTTTTGAAAAATATGAATGATTTTGTGGCTTTCAATACTATTTACGCTGGGTTTTTCGGGGAGACTAAACCTGCTAGAAGTTGTGTGGAAGTTGCTAGGTTACCTAAAGATGTTTTGGTGGAGATTGAGTGAGTGTTTGTTGTTTCCTCTTGTTTACTCTTTTACCTTCTTTTCCGCTTTCCTTCTTTCTCCATACTACCCCCTTCTTCCCTCTTCTTCCCTTTTCCTTCATCCTTCTTCTACCTTCCACATTCCACATTCCACATTCCACATTCCACCTTCCAGTCTCCCCCTTCTTCCTTCTAATCCGTCGTGATCGTCCGTCCATCCTCTCACGGATTTTCTGGAATGAGACCTGAATACATGTATCAAACGGTGGTAGTACAAGTTTGACAGTGGTGAACGACGATACTGATGTTAGATTCGTCGCTGTCGAGGAGAAATAAATACCGTCCGTGATTATAGAGATAAAAATGCATCATTGTCTATTCATATAACCACTCGGATAGAGACCACTATTTAATTCAATATCCCTCCGTATCTTATCCAATCGCCTGGCCCATTCTACTCGAACGAATTGATTCAAAGCAGTATTGCTCATTTCTGACTTTCCGCAATTTGACCCGTCATTGCCCTCATATGACTATCATCATCCGATCCGAAACGACCCATCTCTGGACAGATCGGCTAGTGGGGGAGAAAGGGAAAGGATCAATACGATGAATAACAAAGGTGTCACTGGGAACTTTTGCTGTCCTGTCATATGGCGGTGATAGATATTTGTGATTCCCCTCAAAGTCGACAGTGATAGTCTTTGAGTATAAAAGAGGTCCTCTGTAGGGTATAGATCGTATAGGATTGAGGGATCCAATACACAACCAGGGAAAAGGAGTATGGGTGGAGATGATGGTTCAAGTATATCCAGCAGTATCATCCAATATATTCTTAAACGCGGTTCTATCTTGTTCTGGAAAAGGTTCTAAAGTATTCGGAGAAAGATTAAGTAAACGTTCGAGTCCTTGTAATAAATTACTACACATCAACCTGCGCTCGAGATACATGACCCAAGAAATAGAGAAAACAAAAAGTTTTGAGGGATTAGAGAGACAAAGTGGGAAAGTAGAGAATGGGGAATTTGATGAGAACTCACTCGACAGAAGTCACTAATAAGTATCCATGTTTTGATAATTCATGTGCTAACTCGGATTGATGATCGTCCATCAGTGTCTGGTTTGGTATAACTAAAAGAGGTTTTCGGGAACGTAATACTGATAATATCGAACCTGATCCTGACCATTAGTATCACGTCTCTCCTCCCCAATTATCCCCGCAGATAATTTCTTTCGGAAATTATCTCTTTCACTTCATTTTTGACCGCCTAGTTTTAGGAAAAACAGAGAGATGGAGGAAAGTGGAAGTGTGATCGAGAAAGTATATAAGCTCAGGTGAGACGTTAATGCAGGAGGAGAGTGTAGGAAGAGATTTATCAGTAGAGTAAAAACCACATCAGTGGTCATAACGAGACTCGATGGTTAATGGGATTCAGAAGGTGTAATGAACAATGGAATAAACTTACCAGCATGACTAACCACAAAATCTGATTCTTTTATCATTTGTGAGAATTCATTCGTATATCTAAACAATCTTATTCTCATTCCTTGATATTCATATTCTTCTACTCCATTTTCTTTTCCGACCTTCTCCATTTCTTCAAGTTTCTTAGATAAACCAATTTTGTTATCCTGTTCAGATTGTCCTTCTGTATCTAACGAATTCACTGAGAGTGACTGGTGAACCTTGGTCAAATTCGAACAATCCGGATCACCTTGACCATATTGAACTACTAATTCCGTCATGCTTTGACTGAGAAAAGACAGTATGTTAGAAGAGAGGATCAAGTTTGTGAGAGCTGGAAAGAGGGTAGAACCGACTGTCACGAATAATATCCTTTTCTTTGTGATCTCGGATGAGCTGAATCGATTGGGGTTGGGCATGTTGGTTCTGTATGTTTTATGTGGGGCAATGGAGTGTTCGTCTTGGGTATCACTTCGGTAGATGGGTAGGATACATGGAATGTACCGTGTTCGTTTGGGATAGACTTTGAGTTGGGTGGAGTCTAATGGAGGTAGTCTTCTCTTTGGTGTTGGATTCGTATTTGGTGGTATTTGGATGGATCAAATGAAACTTCTTACTGTCGTTCTGATCATGAACGTATCAGCTAGGACTGGATTGAAAAGGGAGGAGAGGTAGAAGGTAGTAAGTAGTAAGAGAGAAGAAGAGGAAAATGTTAAATGACGTAACGAAAGAAGGAACTTTGACATCTAAGTACATCTCGTTGAAACATCTCTCTTCCAACTATCTCACATCTCTTCTAACTTCGACTCGGTGCTCAGTGCAAAGGTCAAGATACAGATCCAGGACTTTCCATAATGTCAAGACCTATACGATTGTCGAGAAACCATAAACCATCTCTATGCTCATCCGCGATCCCTTCCCTCTCCAGACCATTCTCAACCCAACAAATCCACTCTCGATCCATATCCACTCATCTCCCCACCCACTCTCCCAACTCTCTAACTTCACCTCTCAATACCCCCACACCTCCAAATAACACCTATTCCCAAAAGACCTCGTTACTTTCAAATCATCCTAATAAATCACATATCACTCGATCTTTTCAAAACTCACAATCTCAAAACCCCACTTCCGCACGACGAAATCACTCAACTTCAACGGTCAACCCTTCTGAAATAGCCCATTTCGCACGTTTATCTTCTGAATGGTGGGATGAAAAAGGAGAATTCGGTTTATTACATCGTATGAACCCTATTCGTATTGAATATATTCGACAGAAAATACAATCATCTCAATATCATCATCCATTTACCTCACTTTCTTCTGAACATATCCAACAACAACAACAATTCCCATCTGAACATAATAAAGACTTACATACATCTCCTAATCAATCAACTCAACAAATTCAATCACAACCACTCGAATCAGAAGAGTGTGAAGAGGAATGGACGTTTTCTACTAGATATCAAAACAGAGAAGAAAACCCGGGTTATTGGTTATCCGGTAAAAAGATTTTAGACGTAGGTTGTGGAGGAGGTTTATTAAGTGAAAGTTTAACGAGATTAGGTGGTGATGTATTAGGTATCGATGCGAGTGAAAAAAATATAATAATGGCGAAATTACATGCTCAAGATGGTTTATTCAATTTATTATCTTCAGACACAAGTCCCCATGATATACAATATACAGGAGCAGAGAGGAAAGGAATGAAGGGAAATTTGGAATATAAATGTATGACGGCGGAAAAACTTAGAGATCAAGGACAGAAATTTGATTTAGTGGTTTCTATGGAAGTTTTGGAACATGTTGATCAACCTGAAGAATTTTTGAAATGTTTAGGTGATATGGTTATAGTGAGTTCCTACGTTTGTTTCTCTTTTAATTCTTGAAAGACATCTGGCTATAGGTCAAAGATTCGATTGTTTAATCATCCACTTATTCGAATAACAACTCATGGTTCCATGAGGAAAGAATCAGTGTAAGAGTTGTTAGAAATCAAAGGATAAGAACCCAGGGGAGTAAGAACCTTCGGGGGAAAAAAGGGAAGAGTTTGTAAAAAAAGAGAGTATCACAGAAAGGTGATAATCAGAGTAGGGAAGAGATCATACTTTGGAACAATCGGGAAGAGATTACAGAGAAAAGCAGAGAATAGTAGAATATCATCCGGGTGTAGGAAATAAACTAGAACAATATTGATTTTCAGCCAGGAGGTCATTTGATTCTTTCCACAATATCTAGAACACCTCTATCAAGATTTTTGACAATCACAATGGCTGAATCTATACTAGGTTTAGTTTCCAAAGGTACGCATACATGGAATAAATTTATTCGTCCTGAAGAATTGAAACGGCGAGTTTGAGTTTCTTCTCTTCTCCTTTTTTTCCCCTTTCCTTTCCTTTTCTTTTCCTTTTCTTTATCCAACATCTTACATTTTTCTTTTCTTTTTCCAACATCTTACATTTCCTTTTCATTTTCTTTTCGAATATTCGAAACCAAACAAATCCGTTTCATCTTATCCCATATTTCCTACAAGAATGACCCACTCGAATCATTTTCTTACATATACTTGTAACATCAAATCCAGGACGGTACGGAATCGATCTATATCTATCTGGGAAATGTCAGTTTTACCAGTATAAACCTAACAAAACGAATTCTTTGGTATATTAAGTCCAAAAAAAAGGAGATATGTCGATCAACGTAAACACTCGAGATTTTGGTTTGAGAAGTAAAATTGAAAGAAAGAAAAAGGAAAAAGAACAGATCATTAATGCCAGTTTCGTACATTCCGATATGGGCGGTCATTCAATATGGCAACTTAATTCAGATTCATCAGATATCCAAACCGATCAAGTTGGTTCTACTCAGGGAATGGTGTATAATCCTTTAATTGGGAAATGGGTATTGATGCAAGGGGTTGAAGGTACTTTTAGTAAGAAATGGAATCAAGGTTGTAATTATTTATTTCATGCTGAGAAAAGAAAGGTTTCACTTGGTTTGAAGGATCATTGAGGGTTGGTGATGGTTCAAGGGCTCATTGTTCAGGGGTGCGTGGTTCAAGGAGTTGAAGAGTTTTGAAATACTTATTTTGGTCAATATGGGTTGACCTGTGAGGGATCTGAGTGGATGAAGTGGATGAAGTGGATTTGAGTGATCGGATGCGGGTGTATTCGATTTGAAGTATGGAGCATGGAGCAGAGATCTATGTTGAGATGGGTATTTGAAGATATCCCGATTTAAGATTATGGGAATAGTGGAAAGGACGTTAGGCGAGGAAAGGGTGGTTTAGAGGGATGATAAGATTGACACGATGGAAATCTATATGGAACGGTGATTGAATATACTCATACATATATGAGAGGAGAGGTGCGCATGACATGCATTTTATCAACTATGGATATTTCATTTTTTCTCTCGATATTTCGAATTGATTTGCTAGAAGAGACAAAGATGTGAGTTAGTATTGCTTAGCAGCGGCTTGACACGCTTCTGTCAAGTCAGCCATGATCTCTTTCGATGGAATACATCATGACGAGTCGATGAGAGATGTAGGATCGAAAGTTTTCTTGTCTAGCAGGAATGAAATATTGGGAGATCAGGAAGAAGAGAACGGGGATAAGACAGATGAAGACGATTTTTCAAGTGATGCCGTCGTGGTGAAACGAATGCGGATCTTTGAAAGAAGAAAGAAAAGTTTACTCACTCAATGCTTCGAGGTAATATCCGCAAGAACCCATATCGCCATTAGTAGCTTCTAGGCATTTGGTGAAGTCTGAGAATCAATATTGAGTCAAAAACGTTCCTACCAACATCCCTACATATCTCCCCTCAAAATCCTCTGCAGGGTAAAATGACTATAATGTGAAAAATGATGACGACGTGATCCGTGTCCATCCTCAATGGAGAATAAGAAAGAAACAGAAAACAAACTGTGCTCACCCTTAGCAGCAATATCACAATTCCCAGTACTCTGTCTGACCTGTTCGGCATATTCAGCAGGAGGAGGAGGAGCAACTTCATGATTTCTTCCACCGAATAACATGTTACTGATACCATGTCCTACAACCGAACCAGCTACAGCGCCACCCATAGTTGAAGCCGCTTGAGCTAGTAAACCAGGTTGACGACCTTGTGATTGTGCTTGAGCTTGAGCTGGGACTTGAGCAGGTGGATGATTTGGGTAAGCGGCAGTGTGTGTACCGCGTTGTTGAGTTGTTGGACCGGATGGTCGAGAGGCTGGACGGGAAGAACCACGGGACTACTGGGGTTAAATTTGGTTCTTGAAGTTTTCAATGTATCTCAAACAGAGGTTTACTCTGATTTTCTGTCCCCTGGCATGCGAAGTATTTTTGAAGTGCATCTTAAAGAAGAGTCAAGGATCCGTAAGTAGTGGGGTTGGTTGGAAGGGATCACCCGACCCCGTGATCATGGCTAAGAAATTGAAAGGAGGTCTTGGAAAGCAAAGAAAAGGTGTGAGATTACTCACCGAACGAGCCATCTTGTTAGATTCTACTGCTTGTGATTGTGATAGTTATTGAGTGTAGTCGTGTACAAGTGGTAGGAGTGAAGTGAGAAGAGGAAAAGATAGAACGTGGGGAAAGATCGAGAAACTAGTTGGGAAGAAGAGAAAGTTGATTTGATCCCGCCGCGCAAGCGTGGCACTTTCGGCATGGACATTTTGGTCACGTGACTTCTCGCCACCCTCATACATGAGCCAAATGACAACTGACAAGCTCGGGAAAAGCAGCGCGCAGCGGGATGAGACGGCTGAAGATTATGCAAATTATTTATCTGTAGAATGAACCCCATCGGAATGTCCTAATGATACACCAGGCTGGATGATATCTCTCATACGTTGTTTGAGAACTTTCAACTCTGGAAAACCACCTTCGGTCTATTCATCAGCTCTGCCTGATCGCTCGACCCTTACTTCCCCCCGATCCCTGCATATATTTCATACAGCATGATCAGCATCCACGAGACTAATACAGAGAAAAGAATGAATGAGAATCGGATATGATATGTATGTAACGGGCGAGAAAGACGAAGGAAGGGAAGAACTGACCTTTCTATCCCATACCAACTCTATCCCACCGTTCAATTCCAACCACACTCTAAACCTTCCACCCGTCTCTGGAGAATTGAGAGGGATCAACGTGATACTTTTGAGTATTGGAGTTGAGAAAGTCAGGAAAAGTTCAGTTTGGATCCATGTAGCTCTTGGAGCCCTAGGCGTTAGTACGACTCATTTTCCACCCTCCCATGCAATCGTGAGGCTGATTGATGATTCTCATGCCTCTTAACGCCGCGTGCAGCGTGCAGCTACGACCCTGGAGATGATTCGGGGGGATAGTGATGTATGGTATGACCAACTCACCATCGACATCGATCACAGAATTCTATCGTCACTCTGGGGCATAAAATCACAGGAGGGGAGATATCTCCTTGTGTTGTATTCAAAGGTCGAGTAGGGGAAGAAGGACCGGATTTGGGTAGACAGTCAGGACATGTTTCTCCTACTGGATGATCTGATGTATGTTCCATGTCGGAATGACCTGTCATGAAGTGAGAGTACTCGTACTCTACTGCTATATAACTAAGTTAGTTAGTATTTGAACTGGGACGTCATGGGTGGAGGAAAGACGGAATCAAAATTCCTTCCTCCTTAGCGATTGAACGCAAGATTATCTCATTTCGACTTTACATCATGAGAGTAGGATTTGAGACTAGATTCGACTGAGTGGACAGATCGAATAGCGAGGAGAATGCTGTTAGGAGTCAAAGTCAGGGTTGAAAGGAATCAACTGATCAACTGAGCAGCTGGCGCTGAGCAGATCACAAGGTGAGAAAGACAAAGGTATATCTCCTATCACGATGATCAGGAGTAACCTTTTGTCTTCTTCTCTTCCCGTCGATCTCACTTACAAGATTCTCTAACCTTTGTTCTAATTCTTCATGTTCAAGTGGGACCATCAACTCCTTCGAACTTGAAGTGATGCACGGTGTCAGAGATCACAGAACATTACGGAGAAAGTAATAAGAGGAAGATTTTGATGGATTTCATCACTGATCATTTTCACTCTGATCAAGGTTTGAACCTCAAAAGTGAATTGACGAGAATTCTTCTACTTTCAACAACCTCTTCCTCATCCGACCAATCTGAGTTCAAATCGATCTTCGTACTTATCAGTAGATAAAATGGTAGGCCTAGATAATCCGGAAGAAATCAAACGAGACTTTCAAAGTGACGATACAAACGAAGTTATTCAGACACATCTCAAACGAGATCCAACGTTGGACATTCAAGACAGGTCAAAAGAAACTGAACCTTCAGGAATACTGGAACGTGAAACGGAATTGGAGTTTGTCAAGTTATCAACGAAGAAGTTATTGTTGATTGGTTCAGCTACGACGATAGTTTGGTTTCAAGGAGTTAGTCTTTCCTTCCTCTCTTTAGGGATTCCCCCCTCTCTTTCGCCATTTCCCTCAAATCTTCCGGCATCTACCTCAAATGTTCTTTTCATCTCTCCGCATCTCCTCTGAAACCTTATAAACCCGATATCATACACCATGATATTTGTGTCTGTCTTCAGTCTGATTTTATTTCCATCTTCCTCCCTCTCACATACTCTTCTGTCAGAACATTGACCTCAAAATCCTTCATTGAACTAAGGAAAGAAACGTCAATGATACGGGCTGAATTATAGGTGGCTTATATCTGCGGGACAGGTTATCTTCTTCCTGTCATTCAAAAAGAATTTCAAATATCTTTAGGGGATGTACAATGGGTAACAGCTGCTTTCAACATTACTTGGGTGAGTTTCTCTTTCTGTTCCCTTAATTCTCATTCTATATCTTATTTCATCACTCGAACCTTTATCCGTCACAAGCCAGGTCGATGTATCATAGCATCCGTTTTCACTCGTAGTTGTAGATGCTATATGACTCATTCACTCTATTATTCCTCATCAATTGTCGTATGAGTCGATACAAAATTGGTCTGAGAACATTGTATTCTCTGGTCAAAATAATTGAAGAAAACTGATCATCTAGGGATGTTTCGCACTTGTAGCAGGACGTATCGGTGATATTTACGGACTTGATCGTACTTTCATTTTCGGTTTAAGCTTTTATGCTATTTGGGTATTGATAGGTGGTTTTATGCCTGTATGTCCAACACTCAATTTTTATATATCCCCTACCATTAATTCCGTTTCATCACCCTTCTCTAAACTCTTCATTTCTTATGGCTCTCTTCCCTTTCAAAATGACCTATGTTGGTATCCAGGAGCTTTGGGATCTTTCGAAATATCTACCAATCAGATTCCGATCCGACCAAGGTGGTCACTTATCTATTTATGGTGTGAGAGCTAGTGGTGGTTGTCTAGAGATACCGCGGAAAGGCGATGTTGTCATGTCGGAAGGCTGATGACAGAACATCATCGGTCTCAGTATGACTCAATCTTTATCTGGAATAGGTTTCGCTATCGCTTCTCCTGCAGCTGCAGCGATGATAGGAACTTATTTCCCTTCTGGTAAACCCAAAACTATCGCGTTTTCCGTCATGGCAGGAGGTATGTTGTTTTAGATCATTCCAAAAGTTCATCTACTCTTCTTTACCTTCTCCTTCTCCGCATCCCTCTCTTCCTGGATACATCCCCCCTTCTCTCTTCACATACCTCCTTCCCTCCCCACATCTCTGTCTCCCTCTCCACATCACTTTCTCCTTCTCCACATCTCTTTCATCCTTTCACCATCTCTTTTTCTCCTCTGTCCACAATTCATTCTACGAAGTTACAATGCCGCTATCTCCTTGATCATCTCATTCTACAACCTCGCACTCCGGTGAACTCTTCTTCCTCACATACCTTGATCAATCTATCTACCCCTTGGTACCACACTTCCCTCTTTCTGTTCGACCACGCCAATACCCAGAGTCGCGGATTCCACATATGGGATTGGGAGACAAATGAAGCTTTTTACGAAGCTGATTCTAAGCCGGAGCAATAGGAGCGGGATTGGGTTGGTTACTCGGAGGTTTCTTCACAATCTCGTCACCATACACATGGAGATGTTTAATGTTTTTATGTTCTTCCCTCACTTTATACCCTATAATAATTGCCATCCTCGTGTTTCCAAGAAGTCCTGGTCATCCAAGGGATAAAAAGGTGGATTGGATAGGAGCCAGTATGATCACTAGTGCTCAAGTGTTATTGGGATTAAGTTTAACTTTTCCTGTTGCTACCAAAAAAGGATGGAAAGCACCTTGTGAGTATCTCTCTAATCTACTCTCAAACCTTTCCTGTCTATTCCCTTCTCGGCTCGCACCTTAAGATATGTCTCCCATCCATATCTCCTTTCGTTCTATCTGGCCGAGTTGAGTAATTGGTAAAGCCTCATACCAACTGTTCCAAACGACTTTTTGGTAGAATCTCCCACTGGCATCTTCTCTTCGTTCATCTGTGCAATAAAGATCAAACAATGAGACTGGAATGTACAATCAAAACAGAAAGAGAAAGATCAATGCTCATGTCAAGACATTCCTGTTCTTTTCATCTTATCCGCAATCCTTTTCATTTCATTCATCTTCCGTCAATTCTATCTTGACAAACGTGAAACAAACCCGGCTTACCCACCGCCTCTCACGCCGGCCAGATTGTTCGGTCATAGAAGACCTATGGTGGTCATTTATCTCTCGACGTTTTTCGTTTGGATGGGAAGTGATGTGAGTGATACCTTTACATTTCATCTGTGCCATTCATTTTATCGCTACAACATACAACATTTCTATCATATCTTGTAATTGTACTCGCTCATATTTACATATCAAGCTATCCTCTCCACTCCGGGATTTCGACCCACATCCTATTTCTTGTGTCCAAATTTCTCTCCTCAAGTCACCTCAGACAATTCTTCTCCCTGTTGGACATGAAAAGTGCAAGATTGTTAGCCGCTTGATCCGTCACATGCTCTCTATGAAATACTGACGAGCAGTCCTTGGGCGTCACAGCTTCGTATTTCTACGAAGACGTCTTAGGACTTTCGGGCTGGCAGGCGGGTTTGAGAGTTCTGCCTAGCGTAGCAGGTGGAGTGATGGGTTCTGTAGGTCCTTTTCATTTTTCTTACTTCCCCATTATATGCAAAATTATCAACCTCTCCGAAACAACGAAAAAACCCCTCCCATTGAAGTCTTTCCGATATGACATTCCACATGACCATCAAGGGGGGGGGGGGGGGGGGGTCGTGACAAGTTATAGTTCAAGCTATGACCGGTATGTGGTACAAAGGGAAGGCAGTGGTCATAGAAAAACTTCCTCAGTAGTATGACTTTCTGACTCATACCAGATCATGGTGGGAATCTTACTCCACTACTTACCCTCTAGAGCAGTTCTCGTCTTGACCGATTGTATAGGAGGTTCAGCCGGTATAATCTTCGCTGCTAGACCTATGAACAGAGCGTACTGGAAAGCCGACCTATGGGCTTGGCTCACTACTAGTGTTGCTTCCGATGGGTGAGTGACTTTTGAGTTTTTTATGTATGTGGGTGAGAAGTTGACGGAAGAACGACGGCGGTAGCTTCGACATTGATTTCAGATTATACTTCATCGTAAGTCCTATATAACATCTCCATACTATTCCATTCCTTCGTCTCAAACGGGATATCATTGCATAGGGTACAGACTTCATTCTTCTCTTACTTGCGGCAAGAAATGGAGCTGATGACGCAGTGCTGATCAGGGAGTCGCAAATGGTCAGTATCCGTACTCATCTCAAACAAAATGATACTTGGCTCATGTAGAAGCTCTTCTGGTATCTTGTATGAGATTCGGAGCTATGATGGGTTTAGCACTATCTACCATCACACGTGAGGGTGTTCAACATTCCAAAGAAGCTTCATTCCGACATTCCCTCAGTTTAGACTCTACCACACTATTAGACTGGACGATGGAACAGATCGCAGAATGGGAAGGTGTCAAATCTGCTTTCTTCTTCTGTGGGGCAAGTGTTTTGACTGGTGCGTCTTCATCTCTCTCCGCTTGATACATCTTTACACCCCCTGTTTTGTCAGACTTGCCCTCGTATCTCCACTCACTTCGATATACATCAAAATCCGTACCATGCCAAATCTGGACTAACGACCAGCCGCCGCAATAGTAGGCATAGGTCTCAAAGGTTGGTATGTTGTCGGAAGGCCCACTTCGAACGAAGTAATCGGTCCGACCTCCGGGACGTCGAGTGCGAGTAGTCAAAAACTTAAGATGGGAACAAGCGAAGTGAAAGTATGAACCCCCGATGCTTTCATCACATGGGACGAATGACAACTGAAGAGCCGTTGATCGGATCGGTGGTGAGTAAGGTATCTCTTTCATTCGGACTCACGGCACGTTGACCGTGAAAAGGACCGATCAATTCACTCCATCTCCCATCTCTCATCCCCCACCTACAGTATGCAGTATCTTTTGGGAACGAGGTGTCTACATATGCCTAATTTCTTCGCTTGGAGAAGAACTACTCGGGAATGATTTGAAATTTGATCAATAGTTCCATGACTGATGACAGGCACGTAGATAATTGATAACCCCTTTTCTCCGTTCTTCTCGGACACATGGAAAGACAGTTGATCGGTTCTTTTTACGAGTAGAGTACTCCGGTCTGACAATCTCACTCTTTCATCGTCGAGAGGCAAGGCGATGAGATATCCTTTGTTCATAGTGACTGTCTGCTGATCGTGATGATCAGGCAAAAATGAACAAAGCAAAAATTTATCCCTTCCCCCATTCTTCTAATTGTTTGAACACATGCGTCTTCTCAACCTCATGCTCTTCCATTCAACCATTTTAATCTCTTACATGCATCAACTTGCTTCAATTGACAACAATCTTCACTTTCTCGTCCATCAACCCTGCTTCACCTAATAAACGTCGTACACTTCAGATCACAACCTCACTTCTTTCAACCGTAAATATATCAGTCCCCCCCCTCTGCATTCATCGAGATAAACATATCTCAAGGACCTTCGTAGATCCCTGGAACCAAACCCAAGATGGAAGCTTCAGAAGATAAAGTAGATATATCGACCCCTGTTCCGGAATTACCAACATTGCCGCAACAAGAGATTGAAGGGGTGGAGAAATTGTCTAATTTAAGATTGGCCTTGATCGGGTCTGCTACTGCTTGCACATGGTTCTCTGGCGTAAGTCTATCCTCATCAAGTCTCTTCTTCGTCGCGCTCATCTTTCACTCTCCGGTCGTTCACTCATCCAAAAGCAAATACGATCGGTCATGTGTCGATGACTGCTGTGAGAGCGACAAGAGGAAGAGAGGTCCCTCACTAGCATGACCGGAGTATCCGAGACTTTGATGATTGAAGGAGGGCAGAATTCGCGAGGTAGACTGGACGGTGGGAGGGTCAGAAGTGTTCGTGCGGTGAAAAATAAGAAAATTGGGCAGAGACTGATGAACAGGTCATGTTAGTTTGCGGATCAGGTTTCCTTCTACCTGTCATTCAAACGGAATTTCATTCTTCAGCTGGGGATGTACAGTGGGTTACGGCCGCTTTCAATATCACCTGGGTCAGTCTTATTTTCCTACTTCCCCTAATTCCGCTTTCAATGTTGATCCCTTTCTCCTTCTCCCTCGGCAGACAACTCAAAGAATCATGTACTCGACATTTCTCCCAAGTGTCAATGGCGGCTCAAATAATTGTCTCCTGAGAACTATTTTCGGGGTGGATCCAACTGCAGAAACTCAAGCTGACTCAACAGGGCTGTTGCGCTCTCGTCTCTGGTCGACTTGGAGATATCTACGGTCTTCGAAAAGCTTACCTTGCCGGAATGTCTTTCTACGTGCTATGGATCTTCCTATCGTCGTTCATGCCCGTAAGTCCTTAACTTCGCATTTAGACGATGAAATCTTCACTCCTTCTCTTCCCGCTTTTCTCCACATCTGTTGCTTCGCTCATAGTTTCCTGCAGCGTGAAATGATTTGCCAGGTTTTCCCGCGTATAACATATCTCCTGAGTGGCTGACTCATAGAACCTCATTGGGTTGAGCTTCACTCGTGCTTTTGCCGGAATAGGATACGCCATTGCCTCGCCAGCAGCTTCAGGTACTATCGGTACTTGTTTTCCTCAAGGCAGACCAAAAACGATAGCTTTTTCAGTTATGGCAGGCTGTGAGTCACTTATTCTCTTCCTCTGTTCCACTTTCGACGATAATTCACATATCTTCTCACTTCAATTACTCTTGACCTACATCATTCGTTCCCTAATGAACTGCAGAACTTGAACGTCGAACGTTTCCCGTCCGATGTATCTCCCTCTTCTTGACGGTGTCGATTGTCTCTCTCTTCCCGACCTTACGGCTGACCAATAGCTGGCGCTGTAGGAGCAGGTTTAGGATGGCTTTTAGGAGGATTATTCGTCACTGCTTCACCTTACACTTGGAGATCTCTTTCTTTATTAGTATCTGGAATTTCAGTATATCCATTAGTGATCAGTTATTTCTTTTTTCCTCTTTCAAAACCTCATCCAACGGATAAAAAAGTGGATTGGTTAGGTGCAAGTTTAATTACTGTCTCGCAAGTTTTATTAGGATTAGGATTAACTTTTCCCGTGACGAATCCAAAAGGATGGAGAGCACCTTGTGAGTTTACCTTCTTACTTGTCCAGTGACGCCTACCAACAACCCTACATAGGTTTATCTTCACATGAAGTTCAAGTCCCCTCATCCTCTCTCATCTTACCAGTCAGACATCTGATTTCGAACGTCCTGAATCCATCAAAAACTGATCAACCATCCTTTCTGAGTCTCCTATAAATTCGGGATTTTGGAGAATCACAACTGACAAGTAAAGCAACATACCTGGATGTAGAGTTGGGTGTAATAGCGTAGGAATGATACTGACATATAGACGTCCCAGTCTGTCTTGTCCTTGCTGGAATCATATTCCTCGGTTTTCTATGGCGTCAACGTTTCCTTAATCGTCTAGAAGGGAATCATGATTACCCACCTCCTTTAACACCTCTGAGATTATTCAAGAATACTCGTCAGTTGATCGTTATCTACGTTGGAACTTTTTTCGTTTGGATAGGAACAGATGTGAGTTCCCTCAACCCCTTCCCCTTTCCCTTCCATACTATGGCTGGATCCTGATCTGTCATCCTGCGTGAATGCGTCGCGTTTGGCAGTCTTGTAAAACCCTCCCTTTATCTTATTTCCATTTTCACCAGCGTCCACTCTCAGATCACTTTGAGGTTGCTAAGTGGTCAAGTAGAGTGTCAAAAGACGGATGTGACATGTATTGATATCAGGCCTTAGCAGTAATGGGTGCATACTTTTACGAAGATGTACTCCTTCTCTCTGGTTGGCAAAGTGGGCTTAGGGTTGCACCTAATACGTTTAGTGGATTATTTGCAGCCGTGAGTCCATCCATTATCACTCATTCGATGATACTCCTTCTATCTTTTCACACTTGAAAACTCCTCTTTGACTTCAAGTCCGTGGGAAACATTCCAACTTTTGTTAGATGGAAATGCTGACTTTCCAGATTTCAGTGGGACTTTTATTACATAAAGTTCCAGCAAAGGCTTTACTCATCGTGGTTGATCTCGTAGGGGGGTGAGTGACATCCTCTTTCAATCCTTCTCCGTCTCCCGCAAACATACCTCAACGTAGAATCGATAAGTCTTCTATCCTTCCATTCACTCTACGAGGACCGATGAGAGCTGGCAAGGTGCCCTAGATGGTGATCACAGCTCATGTTTTTAGCTCGTCAGGGATTTTGTTCGCCGCTCGACCCATGGCAAGAGCTTATTGGAAGTCTGACCTTTGGGCTTGGCTCACTACTGGTACTGCTGCTGATGGGTGAGGTCTTTTCACCAGGTAGACTATTTCTGACTTTTTTAGAACAAACGCAATTAGTTCTACGTTGATATCGGATTACACTGCTCCGTATGTTTGCTTCCCTTGTTCTTGTTTTTTTTCCCTGTTTATCTCTTTCTCCCCTCGATCATTCCTTGAATACTCATCAAAGAGGATATACATATGCTATTGCGGTCAGCTTGTGAATTGAGTGGCTAATGTATAGCGGTGATCAAGCAGTTGCAAATGGTAAGCTCTTCCTTCAACCTCAACGTTATACAACTGACATATAGGGATGTGGGTCACTATAATGAGGTTTGGTGCTACTTTAGGTTTAGCATTATCCACCATCACACGTTCTTCCGTACAATCGGCAAAAGAAGAATCTTTGAGGAGGGAATTAGGATTAGCAGTGGGTGAGACATTAGAATGGGTACAAGAACAGAAAGCTTTATGGGTTGGTGTAAAAGCTGCTTTATTCTTTTGTGGTGGTTCGATATATGTCGGTATGTAATTTCTCGCACTTTCCCCTTTCTCTCTCTCCCTCTTTCTCCCTGTGTGTGTGTTCACTTCATATCCCATCCCGTCCTTAGCGTCTATAACATACCTTTCCTCTTTTCTCCCCGAAGCGATACTTCCGGAATGGGTGAAGGACAACAGGGTGCCATCTGCAAGTTTTGACGTGGGATAATATTGATGAATCAGCCGCTTTGGTAGTTGCGATAGGTATGAAAGGTTGGGACGTACTTGGGAAATCTAAAAAAGTTGAAGAATCCTCATTTGAGAAACCTGACTTGTCTTCTTCTCCTTCTTTGTCTCTTACTACTTGCGTATAGTGTGTATCAGTCTTGGGTTTTTGTTTAATGCATGATTTATGATTCATGCTACTAGTAGCTACTATACGAGTACGAGTAGAGTACTCTACACTTTAATGAGATGTATATTCTCACAACTACTACTTTTGTGTCTCCGTTGATTGCATAGGTGTATTCCATGTATACGAGTACGAGTCAATACTACTACTGCTGTAAATTCCAACTCCCATGTTTTCAGTCACCTTCATATCTCCTCTTCATCTTGAAACTTTCGTTCTTCTTACTCTCCTTGAGATCTACTGAATCTACACTAATAACCAACCTCTCCCAAATCATCTCTCAAACCTCATGTTTCTCAACCTCTCCACTTTACGTGCCTTCTCATCTCATCACCTCATCAAACTACAATCCCAAAATCGTACATCCCCTCTTACCCCCTTTCTTCCGCAATTGACGGATCATCCCAACTAACCCCCACTGATCCATGATCCACTGATGTTTTAACCACTCTGAATTACGCTCCATGATCCATGATCCATCTCTATACCCGATTGGTCTTCCTACCCATGGGACAGAGGAAATAGAAGTATCTGTATCCTTTGTCAATTATAGAGGATGCAGATCAATGATCAGCTGGACAAAGAAGTTTACCTTTCTTTATATCCTATTGCTTCTCAATCTTTTCCGGGATCCAGAAGTTCTGATATCACCTGCTCGACCCCTTTTCTGAACTGTATCTCGTCAATGGCCGAAATGACTTTAGTCAAGGGAGAAGTAATCCCTACTGACAAGATGGAAGATCCCCCAGACAAGACCTCAACTTCTGTCATACCTGGTCGAACGACACAACTACCCGTTTTACTTCATCAACCAAAAGAAGAGAAACTTTCGAATGTTAGATTATGGTGGATAGGTTCAGCAGCTTCTGTCATGTGGTTTCAAGGTGTGAGTCTTTTCGTCATCTCATTGTCTCCCAATCTTACTCTCACTTCATCTCTTCTCCTTTTACCCTAACACTACAACTATCTCTTACGTCTTTTGTAAGATCTCTGGATCCGGGTCCTCTAGCTATGTTCTAGACCCCACAACTCTTTCTGGTGTTGATCATGCGCGAATCAAACCACAAGTGAGCCATATGAGACAAACTGAGAGAGGTTGTGAAAGTCGAACCTCCTCAGAAGGACGAAATAACGAAGTTCGTCAAAATAGAGTATGAGGAGTAATTTTCTATCCTGTCGTTAGCGCACTACCATTGGAGAGAACGCAGTGGTGTATGTAGTGAGGAGGAAGTCAGCTGATTGAAAGGTATGTCTTATATGCGGCTCTGGATTCCTTTTACCCGTCATACAAAAAGAGATGAATTCTTCAGAAGGTGATGTTCAATGGGTAACAGCTGCTTTCAATATCACTTGGGTGAGCTATTTTCTCTACGTCAAATCACTCCCTGATCATCTCTGCTTCCTATTTCACCCTTCTGATCGCCAATACAGGGTTTTCCATCTCCAGATCTCTCTCGATTGAGATCTCGAACGCGAAGTGGAAGAGAGATAAGGGATCATGTGGGTTGATACTGATAGATAGGGCTGCTTCGCACTAGTGTCAGGACGTTTAGCAGATATTTACGGCCTACATAAAGCTTTCGTAGCTGGAATGGCTTGGTATACCATTTGGGTCTTCATTTCTTCTTTTATGCCCGTGAGTTTTTCCCGCCCCGGACTCTCAGATTTCATTCCTTACCCCGATTTACCGTCTTTCAAATCCGATTTAGACCTCTTTACCTTCGTAATTCTGGCTATGACCATCCCCCTTTTGTTGAGTCTCCTGACCAACTCGTAGAATCCTTTTCATCTTGATATTCATTCTCTGAAGATCTCACTCGACTTACCGATCGTATCATGTCGAATAGGAAAGTATTGTGGAGTGAAAGATGATGACTAACCATCAGAACATCATCGGTCTCAGTTTCACCCGTGCATTAGCTGGAATAGGATACGCTGTCGCAAGCCCAGCTGCATTCGGTGTGATCGGGAATTGTTTCCCTACTGGTCGACCGAAAAATATTGCGTATTCAGTGGTAACAGGTGGTGAGTGTTCCGATATCTTCTCTTCACACATGTGTTCCAACATGAATTCTCCGGGTGCTCTGCCTTTCTCATTCTTTTCACTTGTCTCTGATTCACAAACCAGCCTTTTCCTCCTTGATTCCAATTCTACCAATCCGGACCCCTATATACTCATCGGTTAGCTACCTCACTGCCCACTTATGAAGCTTCCTCGATATTGCGATTGAATCCTCCGTCCTCTCATCAGTCTTGTTTGCGATGGGGTTCAGATTGACTCGATTTTCTTGAGTTCAGTTCTTGACTTTGGCAATTGGGTTCAATTGACGTACAGCCGGAGCAGTAGGAGGAGGTATTGGATGGCTCCTCGGAGGTTTATTCATCTCAGCATCACCTTATACTTGGCGTTCCCTTTCTTTCCTTATTTCAGGTATATCTGTATATCCTCTCGTAGTTGGGTTTTGGGTGTTCCCGAAATCCAAACCACATCCAACAGACACAAAGGTGGATTGGATTGGAGCTGGGTTGATTACTGTAGCTCAGGTATTGCTAGGGTTGGGATTGACATTTCCTGTTTCCAATGAAAGAGGTTGGAGAGCTCCTTGTGAGTTTACAAACATTCATCACCTTTAATAAGTCTTCGTCTACTGGCAGGGTTAATGAGGGAGAGAGATGGGTGAGGAACAAAGCCAGATCAAAGCTGATATCAGATATCCCGATATTTTGGATACTCGCCGGGATTTCTTTCATGGGATTCATATGGAGACAAAGGTTTTTGAATCGTTTAGAAGGTTTACATACTTATCCACCACCCCTAACACCTTTGAGGTTGTTCAAGAATACAAGACAATTAATCGTCATTTATGCCGGGGCCATGTTTGTTTGGGGGGCGACTGACGTGAGTGATATAAGATTCTTTTCTTCTCTAATAACATTCTGTGGTTGTCGAGTCTTTTTTAGAGGGGAATATATACCAGTGTGGAGTTGATGAGTCAAATTAATTCTTCGGTTAAGACTTCAGAGATGATGGACTTTTCGTCGAGGGTTTTTGTCTGGAAGCTGAGCTGATATCAGGCATTGGCAGTTATGGGAGCTTATTTTTACGAAGATATCTTACTTTTGTCAGGGTGGGAAAGTGGATTACGTGTTGCGCCCAATACCATTAGTGGACTTATAGGAGCTGTGAGTTTTATACTGTCAATCTTGATCTCAAAAGTGAAGCGTCTTACCTTCACCACAACCCTTTGATTCGGCATCTTAGATGATTCTTTGAAAACCCGCTTTCAATCCGCTTTCAATCCGCTTCCCATGTTATATCGTGTTTTCACGAGAAGTTGTTTTTTATGAACAGTTTTACAATCATTCTCGAAGGATGAATTTCCACGCCGAGCAACTCCAATAATAATCCATTTATGTTCATATCTTCTCCAGATCTATCTTTTGTGGTCAAGGGAGTAAAGCTGACGGATCAGGGCCTTGTTGGTCTTTTGTTACACAAGATACCCGCTAGAATACTACTAGTTGTGGTTGATCTGTTAGGAGGGTAATTACTTCTTGGTACTCTTGCATTGAATTTCTCACTTCATTTGTAATCCCCCCGGTCCAAGTCGAGATTAGTGATGATGGAATTGAACGATTTGAAAGAAAGAAGGAAAGAGTGGAGTGCTGAATAATTAGTTCATCTGGTATATTGTTCGCTGCACGACCTATGATATATCCATATTGGAAATCGGATCTATGGGCTTGGCTCACTACAGGTGTGGCCAGTGATGGGTGAGAGATTTTCTCTTAATCTAAGTCATCCCGATCCTTCCTTTCATCTTCCTTGATTGACTTCATACAATATACCCTTTCTAAACTCGTAAGCTGATACATATCTACTCGTGAGACTGATTGTATGTCATAGGGATTCATTTCACTGATTAATAGTACCGGTGCTATTAGTGCCATTTTGATATCTGATTGTACCGCTCCGTATGTTATTCTTCTCTTCTCTTTCATATCGATCCTTTTTTTACATCTCATTGCCTCTTTCTGTCTTTACAAAGACATTCAATCTTACGTTTGAGCCACGCCGATTGTCATCTTCAAACGTACGAGTTAGTACTAATATCACAGAGGTGATCAGGCAGTCGCGAATGGTCAGTACCCCAGTACCCCTACTCTTCAATCCTTTGTCCCTCAATCTATTCCTTTGTGAAAAAAATAAGTTGGAATCAAGAGATTTGTCTTGATTGTCGTTGCTCGGCTCACCCATCAGCCTTGTTCATAAGTTTCGAGCGATTCGGAGCGACCCTCGGTCTAGCTCTGTCAACAATAGTCCGGGAATCTGTTCAAACGGCCAAGGAAAAATCTCTTCGTATTCATTTAGGAATGGGAGTTGGACAAAAATTAGGATGGTTGGAAGAACAGCAAGCTATGTGGGAAGGGGTTAAAGCTGCTTTATTCTTTTGTGGTGCCGGGGTGTATTGTGGTGAGTGATACCTCTTAACATAAACTCTGTTGAGTTACCTGCACCAACATTGATATCTCCTGTCTTTCTTCCATCATCAACGAGATGAGTCTCGTACATCTTCACATCTTAAACTTTAGGTCGGTATTCGTATTGCTAGTTGATCAATCTTCACCCTTGCTTGTCAAACTTGGCATCTCGCCTGAAAGGAATGTGACGTCGCTGACTACCAGCGGCAGTGATAGTAGGTTTAGGTATGAAAGGTTGGGATATTCTGGGTAAGACCGATCGGTTAAACGAACAGAACGATGGGAAGGAAAATGTTGTATCTCAAGAGAAATCGATCTCATCTTCTGCTGTTTCTTCTCTTCCTTCGAGTGATATGTGTTGAAAGACGGATGCATGAGTCGGTATCATCGATTCTTCAGCAGTTCCCTCACTTGAAATATAAATAGGCTCATGGTCAATGTATCATGTAGCGTGTAGCGTGTAGCAGGTAAGTAGCATCATTTGGGTAAACTCACTCTGCCCACCCGTCCCGACGATTCATTCTCAAGCCATTGGTTGACGATCGTTGGATCGTTGGCTGTCAAACCAAGTAGGCCTAATGACATCTGAAAAGTACTCGTACTTGACAGGTTGTAGACGACCTTGATGATCCTCATGAAAAGTAAAGTCCCACCTATGGAGTGATGATGAAGTTGAGAGTCAAAAATGGCTCAATATCTGGGTAGAAACAAGGGAAAAGTTAAACTTTTTCCTGTTCAAAATTTCGATCGACCATCGACAACTCTTTTGAGTTCCCAACTTTGTCACCAACCATCTTTCCACCTTTCAATCACTTTTTCATAATGTCACAAAACCCTTCTATCCCACTTTCCATACTAGAAGATTTGAAGGAACTGTCTTATCAACTGGGACAGAAGACTCATTTACTCGTCAAAGGTGGAGATGGACCGTTGGCCGAGGTAGGGTTAAGAGCTACTAAAGGGTTATTTGATCATGGTCAGTTTTCCTTCCTCTCTCTTTTCTTTCTATACACATATGCATCTCCCTTCTTCCTTGTTCAAAGATGAAGATGATGCTTGTACTACTTTCATCACTGCCTTTTCAGGAAGATTGTGGACTGGAAATGGGTGGTCTTGCTTCGTATTTTGTGTCCACTATGAAGTTTTTTTGGTAAAACTTCGAGAGGTAGGGAGAGATGAATCATGTCAAAAGTCATCCCATCCATCTCTTCACACAATGTACATATATCTTTCGTGTATTCAGGATAAGTTTATAATATGAAAAAATATAAGACTAACTCCAAGCTCTTTCATTAGAATCTGTCTCACATCCTCATCTTCACCCATTCATCATCTCAATTCTTTCCGCCCCCGCCCCAACTCTCCGTTCTGCCACACGGTCCATCTCCAAACCTATCCCACCACCTCCGAATCCGACAGATGTTTTACCGTATACTCCTTTGAGTGGGTTGACGACGGATATGGAGTTGGAACAGATTTGGGAACAGATGGAATTGAAAACGAAAGGGATTTGTAGGGTTTTACAGGAGTTTGGACCGGAAGATGGGTATGATGTTTTATCTGGGGATGAGATGGATGGGCAGGAGGATGAGATGGATAGTGATGAGGATGATAGTGATGAGTTGGAGGATGAGGATAGTGATGAGTTGGAGGATGAGGATAGTGATGATGAGGAGGAGGATGATGAGAGTGAGGGATTGGAAAGGTTGAAAAGAAAGTATATTGCTGCGGGTGGAGATTGGGAGGCTATGATGAGTCGTTTTGAAACGGATGATGGGAGTGAGGATGATGACGACGAAGGAGAGGACGATGAATACGATGAAGACGAGGATGAAGAAGAGGAGGATGATGAAGATGAGGATGACGAGAATGTGGAGGAGGAAGATGACATGGACGGAGAAGATGATAATGATGACATCGACGGAGAAGATGAGGAGGCGGAAGATGAAGTCATGTCCACAAGAAAGAAGATAGGACGCGGAAGGAAAGTCAAACTTGGGCCTGAAGAGAGTGATGGTGGAACCGACGAGGATTCACAAGATGATGAAGAGGAAGAAGATGATGATGATGAGGATGATATGGGAGAAGACGATGATAAGCCTCGAAACAAAAACACTCGTTCTCATCCTACCCTCGACGATGATTTCTTCTCCATATCCAATTTCAACAACCAGACCAGAGCTATGGAAGCTGAATACACCTCCCACGGTGCTTTGGGAGGTGATGAAGATGATGAAGAATTGGCTGATATGGGAGATTTGATGTTGAATGGTGTTGAGGGGGATGAAGGTGGGTTTGAACATTTCTCGGCAAATATCTCCACCTGTGATATCGATCTTCCTCCTTATCATTTGAACATACCCATGCGTCATGTTACAAGATTCCGGATTGTATGTCATTGTCGAGGATTGCCACCCGCTCGGCAACGCTGAACAGCGACTGCTTTCCACCCGGAGGACAATTCATCATTATTCATTTCTCCTGCTCTTGTTGTTGACTTTTCATCGGCCGTCGACTATCAACTGAGACTAATGTGCAGATGTAACCTACGCAGATTTCTTCGAACCGCCCCGAGGATCCAACCTCCGAAGACCTACCAAGCAGGACAAGTCCAAGTCTAGAGAAAAAGCGTCAAAGTCGAAATCTCAAACAAACGATTCAAAGTCAAAGTTCAAAGGGAAGGAAAAGAAATCGAACGAGGGAAAGTCTAGTGTGAGGTTCGCAGAGGATTTGGAACCTTCGGAAGATGATGAAGAAAAGGAAGAAGCTGGTGATATTATCGATCGTTTGAAGGGGGATTTATTCGGGAGTGATGATGAGGAAGATGATAAAAGTGAGTCATCCAACACTCATATCTCACTTCCTCTCACTTCCATATATCTCAACAGCAGGAACAAAGCTTATGATAGATCTATCAACTTTTCAAAAACAACAAATGGAATTATCTAAACAAATCGCCGAGTTGGAATCTGAAGCTATCGGACCGAAAGATTGGACACTTCTCGGTGAAGCTACAGCCAGAGCCAGACCCGAGAATTCTTTACTCGAAGAAGATTTAGATTTCGAACAAGTTGGAAAGGTGATTCCTGTCATAACGGAGGAAAGTGTGAAAAGTTTAGAAGATTTGATTAAACAAAGAATTATTGATGTGAGTTCATTCTTATTTTTCTCATTTCTGCAAAGTAAAGTTCATTTGGAAACTGGCCTCGACAAAAGTTTCTGGGTTTTGTCATGTTTATGAAGACTGATCAAATAGAACAATTTCGATTCCCCAGTTCGTGTGAGAGCATTCGAACCTACTCCTTTTCTCCCTTCAAGATATTTCGAATTACAAGATACTCAATCTACTAAATCTCTCGCTCAGATATACGAAGATGAATATCAAGCTGTTTCTTCTGGTACTTCTGTGAAAGATCCAAGGGATGAAAAGTTGAAAAAGGATCATGAGGAGATTGAAAGGTCATGGGAAGAGATTTGTTATAAATTGGACGCTTTGTCAAGTTTGAATTTTGTTCCAAAGCAGGTAAGCTGTTCATCATTCTTCAAATCTATTCTTTTACCAGTCCCTGTTCTCCATCTTAGTAGATCACTTTCTCTTTTCTTCATTTCCTCTTGATCTCTTGATCTCTTGATCCCTCTTCTATCGTATATATGTTTTTCTGTGTCACTTCCACATTATCTTCAATCCCGATATGATCATTCCAAGATATAATACGTCGACTAACCTTCTTCCAGCCAAAAGCTCAAATCACAACAATTTCCAATACACCCACAACTTCCCTCGAAACCGCACTTCCACCAACCATGTCAGCTCATTCAACATTAGCACCAGAAGAAATTCTCAACCCCGCTACTTCATCCGCTTTGATCTCTCGTTCAGAACTCACTCCGGAAGAAAAACAAAAGTTACGAATGAAAAATAGGAAAAAGAAAGCTGGTCAAGGGAGAAAATTGAATGAGATGGTAGAGTTGTACGGAAAGAAACGTGTTTCAGCAAAGGAAGAGAAAGAGAAAGCTTTGGCTGGTTTGGTGAAAAGAGGTAAAGGAGTTACTGTTGTTGGGAAAGCAAGTGGAAGTGGGAGTGGGATTGGTGGGGATGGTAAGAAAAGGGATAGGGATAGGGATAGGGTTTCTTTAGAAGATAGAGATAGGGAAGATGGGAAAAGGTTAAAGTTGTGATATGGACACATGGCTTGATTTTCTATTTCATCTTTAATGATAAACCATTTCGAATCATTTTCTCTTGGGAGAGGTATGGCAGCAGGAATACAAAGTGACAATGTTCATTTGATGTATTTACATTTGATACGAGTACATACATACACATGGGTTCCGTTGGACGTTGTGGGCTGTAAATAGCTTTCGAGCTGAAAGGAAGGACACGTCGTCTCTACACTTCCTTCTTTCATTTTCAACATCTATATACATCTTCAACTATACATCTATACATCTATACATCTAAGACATCAATTATTATTGAAATTTCATCTTTTCATCTATCCCAGCATCTCCACTTTCACCAGTAGAGTAGAGTACTTGCTTCAACACGTAACGATCTCTTCTTGAGAACATACCCTATCGGCCTCATTTCCAACTTTGAACCTAGGATCTCATCTCGTAGAATCTTCAATCACATCTATCCTATCTATCCTATCTATCCTATCTATCCTATCTTCTCTATCTTTTCTATCTTCTCTATCTGATTCGATCTACTGATAATAATCAAAGAATAAATTTCTCCAAACTGTCGACGATCGTATCGAATCACCGTCCCCCTCCTCATCCCCTTCACCCCCACACTCACTCTCACTCTCACTCTCACTCTCATACTCACCCCCACCCCCACCCCCACACTCACACTCACCGTCCTAGACCACGTTCACATTCACGTTCTTCTTCTTCCCCTTCACCTTCTCCTATTCTCTCTCCAATCCCTATAAAACTTAAACGACAACAAATATCTTCACCTATACTTTCACCAATCCCTACGAAACCTAAACGACAACAAATATCTTCACCTATACTATCATCAATCCCTACGAAACCTAAACGACAACAGATATCTTCACCCATACCATCACCCATCCCTTTAAAACATAAACGACACTCTTTCTCAACTTCCAGACCTAGGAGAATAGGTAGGGATGTTTCCATCGAAAGGGGTAATATAAAAAATGGGATGGAATCGAAAATGAATGGGACACGTCATAATGGTCATACTATACATGATGGGTACGAACATGAACTATCTGGAAAAATGAATAAAATGAATGAAAGATCAAATGGGACATTCAAATTGGATAAAGAACCATTTCATGGTCATCATGATTGGGAAGGAATGGATAATGTGGAACAGGTTGGATGGAAAGACTTGAATGATCATATTGATTCACATGGTAAGAATGTTATACGTGGTCTTGATGGAGTAAATGGTATCAATGTTCTAGACGGACTAGATGGACTAGATGGACTAGATGGACTAGATGGACTAGATGGATTTTCAACTCAATATGGAGCTTCGGCAAGTTCACCAGGTGGTGTAAGTGGGAATGAAAGAGGAGAAGATTTGTTCGTTTCTGCTTTAGGAGAAATGACAGAGGGTGAAATTGGACCAGAGTTGAAAAGGGGTAGAGAAGGTAGAGAAGGGTGGGATGTGATGGATAGAGTGTGAGTATTCTGCTACCCTCACTAGGTCATGTTCATCCTCCTGTTGTTCCGCATATCTATCTAACTTCCTTCAAAGACTGTGTGTTGTCCAACGGTGAAACTTTGACAAATTACGCAAGTGTTGAATTAACGACCAGACCCACACCCACACCTGGTCCATCCCAACCTCGTCCTTCTCATCTAACTCGGAAAATCACACCTCATAATCATCCACCAACCTCACGTACTGTCCTCCCATGGTTTCTTCCTTTCCCTTTCGCCCTCTCTACTAGCGTGAACGACACACGAGATAATCATCTTGGACAGTTCTCGTCTACTGGAAGTCAAGGAAAGGGGAAGAAACCATTGATAGGGATTCAGATAACTAGACAAACCTGTGAGGATAGTTTGATTTTATGTAGTGTAGGATGGGGAGTTTATGTGTTGGTTAGTAGATGGGATGAACGTGCTGTTGCTGGAGGTGAGCTTCTGTCTTCATTCAGATTTTGATCATCTCATCAATCACTATGACAAATTCTACCTGTCCTACCTTACTGGACAAACGTCTGCCTCGCTGAGTGAACGTCTGCTTTCATTATTTGAACAGCGAAGGGGAGTCATGATGAGGTTACGAACATCTATTTTGCTGCAGGGATGGGTATTGATCAATAGAAATCGCCCTCCTCGTCGGTTTATCAATACTTTACAAAATCATCCGACCATCTTCCCCCAGACCATCCGTCTCCTCTCTACACCCCATCCCCCGTCCTCATTCCCCCGCCACGTCATCTTTCGCCATCTCACATAGTCACATGCGAGACAGATCTAGTCGATCTTCTCATAGTTACGGTCAAGCCACTGCCAATGGTATAAAAGAAGATCTACGACGATCTTTACCTCTTCACGAAGATAAAAGTAATGAACGAATGGATTGTAGGGGAAGTATATGGGGTACAGATGAGCGCGAATATAGGTCAGTCCTTTCTCCTTTTCATCTCACTCAATCGTAGTCTAATATTGTCACCTCGGCTGATCTACGCTGAACGTCATACCTCCCACTGGTTGAGCTTGTCCTAATTAATTAACTGTAGGGTGAAATCGTTTTCCGAGCTGATCCAATAGAGACGGTGTGGACGACGGAGTTCTTTCCGCTTTACTCCTCGGTCCACTCGTAGCTTCAGCAATGCTTCACGCATCCCTTTCTCTCTTATCTTCCAATCCTTCTACGGCTTTACCAAAAGGATGGAACATTGAATCTCCTCTTATACTCCCCACCACTCCCGTAAGAACATTCAAAGATCTCACTTTACCACGCACAGAAGCAGTGTTGGCCCTTTCGGCATTAGCGACTTCCAGAAGGAATCTGGTTCAGTTATTCACTTTGTTATCATTTGTGCTTTTGGTACATCTGACACGATCTCTTTGGCACGAAAAAAGACTCTGTAGATGTAATACATCAAATTCGACCCTGGGATCAAATTCCGGATTGACCACTGGATCAGGGGTACAAGAAAAGGAGAAAGAGAAAGAGAAAGAGGGAAATGCTGTGGGATTGTATTGGGTCAAAAGAGGGGAATGGAAGAGAACTGGAAGTGTGGTAGGATTTTCTTTTTTAGTTACGGGTTGTTGTGTGGTAGTTAAGATTGTTACTGCTATCATTGGAAGAGGAGTATGGAGTGGTGAGTTTACTTGGTATTCTTCATCCCCCGTCCATCAAGCCTTCTTCATCATGCCCCCTTTTCCCTACACATACGACTAAAGAAGACTCTGTGGAAACTCCTTCAGTTCGAACTATTTCGCCTACAGCCATTTGGCATCACCCTCACTGGCAGTTGCGCCTTGGTGTTGTATTGGAATACCAAGATCACCGCTGAATCCTAGACATGTCACCATCAGATATCATCATCGCTACCCTTTTCTACCAATTCAGTCTTTATGTCTGTGTTCGTCTTGCTCGTAAAGGATTCACTTTGGGTGAACTTGGTGTCGTATGTAATGCCGCCACTGCGTTATTCATGGAGACTATCAATATGACTCGTATGAAGGTATGTCGTGAACTGTTTCCCTTCTTATTTCCTTCCACTGCCTTCTCTCACACATCTGTTTCCTTTATGTACCTGAAGCTGTCAAGATGACTCCTTTTGAATTTAAAATACTGACTTTCCTCTAGATAACACTCCTCGCTACACCTTACATCAAAACCTACCGTCTCCCAACTCCTCTTCTGACATTTCAACTCGCTCTAATCCCCGGTTCTCTTCTAGCCGGCTTCCTTCTCTCCCCTCTCCTCGTCCTTTCACGTCATCTAGCTCAAAAACCAGCACATCGTCTACGTTTCCCACATGAAAAACCCATTCATCGTCGTCTTCTCGCTTTAGGATTCTACGCCGGTGTATGTTTGGTTTGTGGAGGTATAGTGGGTCTTTGGACAAGATGGTGTTTGAATTGGAGAGATCCATGGTTTTGGGTACTACGTTTCCTTCTCGATGGGAAACATTCATGGACCAGACCTGCTCTTTTGTCCTATTGGGGATTATTAGCTATGGTTTCTGTGGCTGGTTGGAGCAGACAATTAATCAGAGCTAGAAGACATAGAAGGTATGTCGTAGGTAACGTTAATGGTGGTGGAGTAGGGATAGGAAAGAATGGGATTGGGATTGGGAATGGAGGTGCAGGTGGGAGTGGTGGTGGTGGTGGTAAAGATGGTATGGGAGATGGAAGTTTGACCGGGGTGGCAAGTCAAATGATGGATGCTGCGGATCAAAGAATACCAACTTTGAGCGTTAATTCAAGAAGAAAGTTTTTTCATGCTCTAGCTGTCATCATGTTCGTTCCCGGTATAGCGGTTGATGTGAGTGATAAGTTTTTGTCTCTCTCACATATTACATCATACATTTTTCTCTTCTCTTCTCTTCTCTTCTCTTCTCTTCCCTTTTCTTTCTGTCAGGTAGCATACGTATCTTCTCAGTCGAAACGACCATGTCACATCCTACCTTTCGTGCAATCTCACGAGGTTTCATCATGAAAAGCCCTATCATCGATTTCGACGTTCATACTCCCTCGTTTCAGCTTTCGCAGAGGATGAGTCAGGTCTCGTCAAACCAATTCGATGAATTACATACGTTTACAAGGGTTAAAGGGATAGAAACAATGACGTCAAGAGAATTTCACTGACCTTTCAGCCAGTATTCACACATCTTTCCTTTTCCGTTGCTTTCGCCCTGTTCAATTTCGCAGAATATATCCGATATTTCGCACTTTGGCCATTCGGCGTATCAGTTCATTTATTCTTGAACGAATTCCTCGACCATAAAGATTCCGGAACGGCAATATTGAGTCATTTTTATTTATTAGCTGGTTGTGCGGCACCTTTATGGTTGGAAGGATCTTCTAGTGTCATGGCGAATTTCGGTGTGTTGGCGGTGGGTGTCGGGGATGCTCTGGTAAGTTTTGACTCTTCCTCCTCTTCCCACTTTTACAATTTTTGGATCTCCGGATACCTGCCACGCTCATCTTATTTCAAATTTCTTCATCGTGATGATCACGAATGTGTTGGAGAATGTGACATACTTGTCCCTCTTCATATCTCCATGGAATTCCTTGTTTCTTGTCACCTCGTTAGGATTGTCTCATGCAATCATGGCCGTCTTTCGATCGGACGTGGGAATGTGGGGTTCTTTCCGAGTAAAAGTCTTTCCTCGGAGGACAGAGAATGTAATTGCGGGTTGTGGAAGAATTTCTTCAACCAAGATTGGTTGGTGGGAAAGGACGATGATCAAATGACAAATACTGATATCAGGCTTCTATAGTAGGTAAACGTCTTGGACATCTACGTTGGACATCAAGTGGGAAAACGATAGAAGGTAGTATGGCATTCTTCCTTTCTGTTTTACTATCAACCGTGGTGTTGTGGATGATGGGTTTGGTTGGTGATTTCAATGTGAGTATTTGTCCCTATTGCAATGTTAATTCTCTGTTGGAATATTTCTTCTGTCATTCTGTCATCTTCCGTTCTCACCATTCCATTCTTCCAGCTTTACTCCATACCATTAATTCAAACATTCCTATCTCGTCCATTACATTCAGAATATATTTCTTTCACATGTATCTGGCTTGTTGTTCTGAGCTGCAACTGGATAAACTGGATGGTCCCAAACCATTGTCGGAGGGGGGGGGGGGGGGGGACACATGAGTATGGAAAAAAAAGGAAGTAGTATGAACTAATAAAATTAGATTTCAGCATATACACTTACCACATCACTCGTCACTCTACTCGAAGCTTTCTCTGCTCAAAATGATAACCTGATTTTACCCCTGTTTGGTTGGGCTGTAGGAACTTTGTTAGGGGTATAAATCCACATCCCTCATCTGTCAATTTTGATCAAAAAGATTTATTCCTGTCTCATTTTGATCAAAATTGAATAAATCAAAAAGTACCTACCTTGTCATGTATCACATTGTTTTGTACTCGAGCATTCTCGCGAGAAAGCATCCCCTCAAGTACAGTTCTTCCACTTTTTATTGTCCTACACCATGCCTGTGATTCACTCTCCACGTTACACATTTTACCTTCCGCTGAGTTGTTGAATAGGTATCATACAATCGTTCCGAATACGAAGGAGGTATGACTTTGAGAGGACTCAACTTTGAGCTCATCTCACACATGACCCATTGCATCTCTCACTGACTCAAGCCTTGGTGGGCATACACAGATAGTATCCAGATGAATGGAACGTGGTATTCAGAGAAATGGAATGTGAATCCAGATGAATGTGGTTTCCAGATGAATGTAACGTAAGCATGAAAAGCCAAAATGTTCACACACACAATAACATGAAAGAATGGGGACAATGCATTTGTTCTTCTTGACAATTTTGTTCATGCTATGTAATTATGTATAACAACCGTTCACTTTTCCTTTTCCCCAAAAATAACATCAACATCCATGTTCAACCATAACATTCACATCTGCATCCCACCACCTCACCGCTTCACTTTCCTCCTATGTAACATGATCAAAGCTATCACTCTTGTATATTTCTTATTCAACCTCAACAACATTGCTTTAGGTGAACATCTACCATCGTTCATATCCCTTAAAGGCGTATCGAATTCTGGTAATATATATTCTTTCTTCTTCATATCATTTCTTGTGATATGACTTTCTTTTTGGATTGGGTTAGATAAGTCTTCATCATTTATTGACCTATGACTTTCTTTATGGATCCCGTTGGATAAGTCTTCATCCAATTCTTCATTCTCATCCCAACCTAATGCCATCCAAGCTTTTGAACTATTCACACCGGATTCGATTTGAGAGTAAACATGATCTAATATTGACATGGTAGCGAATGTCGGTCTCCAGAGAATATCGGTAGGTCTCCAATGACGAACTAAATCTAATCCTACGTCTATGATAGAATCTCTTGGTTTGGTGCTTTGTCCTTGTTTACTGCTTGTTTTTGAGGGGTTGAATCCGGGGTTATGCAGGGGGGATGAAGGACGGGAAGATGTGGTAGGGTTTGAGGGAGAGGTAAATGAAGGATCGGAAGATATGGTAGGGTTTGAGGGGGAGGGAAATGAAGGATCAGAAGATGGGGTAGGATTTGAAGGGGAAGTAGATGAGGGATCTAACAATGACGAAGAGGGAGGGATGGATGAAGGATCTGAAGATGATCGAGGAGGTATCGAGGATGACTGAGACAGAGAAGAGTCGGATGAAGTTTGTAGATAAGACCGAGTGGTTCTGGGTAACAAACCGAAAGAATGAGCAAATGTGGATTCAGAAGGACGGACTATATCCCAATCACCTTTAGGTCGAGAGAGACGTAATTGATACCTTCTATTTGGAGGTCTGGAAGGTGGAACATCTTGATCTGTGATACGTGTATCATCTAGAAAATTTTCATCTTTACCAGCATCCATAATTTGACCAAAACCCATATCTCGACCGGAACCCGTATTTCCTTGACCAAGAGAAGTTTCTTGATACCGCTTTTCTTTCGGTAAAGTCGACCAGGGAAGATCATATGATTGCGATATGCCAGAATTATTTTGAGAAGAATATGGGTTATTTGATAAAGGAACAGAATGAGACGAATCATCGTTTAAAGATGATAATGTTGAAGGATAAACTTCCCTCAAAGCTCTTTCTCTCCTTGAATTAATTTCATCCCATCTCACTAACAAAACATCTTGAACAACTTTGAACGCTCTTTCCACATCCCCCATTCTAGCCAAAGCGACAGCATAGTGATTCCAATTCGCAGCGTCTAATCCAAAACCAGCATCAAAAGTTTGTTGCCATACTTTTCTTAGATCGTGATATCGTTTAGCATGACATAAGGCGTCGAGAGTGATGGAAAGGGGGATACAGAGTATGGTGGAGTTTGTCCTGATTGATCGAATAGGATGAGTGGTGGCTTGTTGTGGATCTTTCAATTGAGAAGTCTGGGTCGGTGAAGAGTCGGATATCACATATGTCGATGATGAAACAGAGGGAGATACGGTGTGTGATGAAGGGTTTGTCGTAGAGGTTGAGTCTGAACCACCTAGAGATGATATGGTGGATGAAGAAAAGACGGAAGGTGTTGCGGAATCTGATGAAATGGTTGAAGTGAGGGCTGGAGGTATCGTAGATTTTGTGGGAGAGAGGGCTTCACTGGATGAAGATGATGATGTAGATGGGTTATCAAAAGAAGAACCTTCCTGATCAGTCACAACAGTAGTCATCTCACAAGCTTTTTCAAAAACCCTTTCCCATAATTCCACTACCTTCTCAGTCTCACCTACCCTCCTATAAGCATCCATCAACATTCCATACATTGCCGTACTATCCCCTTCGACCAAATCGAAATAACCTTCAGCAGCTTCCATATCTCCTTTTTTTCCAGAAGCCAATAACAACGGTCCGAATAGATTTTTCGAGATTAAATCTCTTTCACCTTTTCTTTCTGGTAATTTGCCTTCTTCCGCTTGATTCTTTATAACGATAGCAAACTCGTGAGCTTCTTCTAAACTACTGATAGTTCCAACATTTGTGAAAGAAGTAATTATCATACCATATGTAACACTTGAAGGTAGAATGTCGCGTTTGCGCATTTCGTCAAATGTTTCTTTGGCATCATCACCATAACCACCTCTTAGATATCCATGAAGTAAAATGGAAAAAGTGTATACGTCCGGTTTGGTTAAATAAGAATGATCCATTTCTTCGAATAATCTTCTTGAAAGTTCAAAATCGTCGTTATCACATGCTGATTGAATTACTAAAGCCCATGCGTATGCTGAAGGTTTTGAAATAGATCGAAAAAGTTGAAGAACGTGAGAAGTAGGTGAAGCTAATAAAACATGAGCTTTTAAAACTGTATTGATGATACGTGGATCGTATTGAAATTTTGATGGAATGGTAGAAAATCTTTCGGCTGCACCTATCCAATCACCTGCTTCGACATATGCATTAAGAAGAGAAGCATAGGATGGAAGATCCGGTTCGATGTTTGCTGATAACATTGAAGAGAAGACAGATCGAGCGTTATCGATATCACGTTTGGAAGCGAAAAGATCAATCAGGTTGGTATATGAAATCACATCTGGATGAATGTTATGATCTAACATCTGATCAAAGGTAGTGACGGTAGAAGTGACATCTCCTCTTGAAGCGTGAAAATGTAACATGTTATTGTATGCGACGAGGGAAGGTCGTAAGGAATTGATCCGATCGAAGAAAGTACGAGCACCGATAGGATCGTTGGCGTTTGTATAAGCCATCAATTGAATGTTCAAAGCTGTTTCACTGTTCATTTCCGGTCCAAGGTAATCACGAAGGATGTCGATAGTCGTTCTGACATCTCCTAGTTGAGCGTGTAATCTTGCAAAAACGTATACATCTTGATGACGAGGTGGACGTTGAGCGACCAAAGTCTGCCATATCTCCACGCTTCTTTGAAAGTCGCGGAGTCTAGTATAGACCAAGAGCATCCGACTGAGAACAGGGAGAGGGAGATTTTCCAAGTTACGAAAATCGGCCAGTAATTCCGAAGCGAGATGAGGGTGTCGAAGGGATAGTCGACGTGCAAGACTGGTACGTGCCAAAGCGGGTACACCAATTCCTGCATCCCGTAACATTCTGTATATCTGGACAGTATCCCCTTGAGGACGACGAAGACGTACCATGGCGACGAAGAGAAGAGGACCTAACGGCCGAGTGTTAGGAGTGAGACGATCGAGTCGCTGTGCGAGCCAATGGATAGGTCTGGGGATACTAGCCAATGTTGTGTAAAAGATTCTCATCATGCGAGTGGAAGGAAGTGTCCCTTGTAAAAGATGATGTTTGAAGTTCCTATGAGCGATGGTGATCAGTTCCAACATTTCTTCCCTTCTTCCAATGGAATAAGATTCGAGACAATCGCAAATGACATCGTCAAAAGTCGCATGGATATTCTTGAGGGAAGGTCTGATGAATTGTTTCATCTCTTCCAGAGCTGTAGCTTCATCTTCCAAATGAATATAAGTCATGGCTCTGATGATATGATAATGATCAAGACCTCTTGATTTGATCTGCATTGCTTTATCTAATGAATCTAATACTTGTTGTCTTTGACCTAAGACTGCCAAAGCGTGTGCTTCGACACTGAGAGCTAAAGCCAAGACACCGGTTGGTATCATATCCAGTTGTTCAGTAGGTAAAGTGAGCAGTTGTCGTAATTGACTAGCGAGCCAAGCCCAGGAAGAACGTTCCGCGGTTTGCCGAAATATACCGAAAACCTGAACGAGGCAAGTATGTGTGGCAAGTTGAGTAGGGTGAAGAGATTGAGTTTCGAATGCTGTTCGAAAGGATGTTGCGGTGGGGTACCAAATCCTGAGAGGTCTGGATGGGAGAGGATGAAAAGAAGGAGGGAGGAGAGCCCAGGAAGGAGGTTGTTGACGAGGTTGTTGAGTTGTTGAAGAGCTAGTAGAAAGGGTTTTCTTTCGTGCAGGAGATTGAGATTGAGATTGGTGTTCATGATCGTGAAAAGTAGAGTCTGAATCGATAGAAACATGGGCAGTGGCTGATGAGGCGAAACGAGCTGTGGTATGTGGTGAGGGATATGATGATGGGTGTAGACGATTCATGACGGGGGGAATGTGAGGTTGATAAGGTGTGTGAGCGATGGACCAAGGTGAAACGGTTCTTCTCTTCAAATTTGAGGTAGAGTAAGAAGTTCTAATCCTATTGGAGATCGTAGCCAGCTTCTTTCTAGACCAATCATTGTACCTTTCTTCTATCGATATACCATCTTTGACAACCGAAGGATAGACCTACGACGTCAGCCGAAAGTATTCGGAATCCTCATGCCATACGACTCACCTGCCTCACCGGGGCGTCATACCATGCAAGAGGGGAGGATGACCGCTCGTTCTCCGTCGGTGATAGCTGGTTCAGACGAGATTTGCATGAAGAGGTTGTACTTTGAGATGGTGTTGAATGTGAGACTCTAGTTGGATGACATAGATCGGAAGACTTTCTGTTGAAAGAGGGTAAGATCGAGTAATATCGATCTACCAATCGTAGGACATGAAGGATGGTCCGTCTGGGTCTTCCCGGTCCTCTGAGTGGTAAACGGGGTAGCATTTCCACTTTTCTTCCTCCATCTGACGCTATCCCCAAAAGCTCCGGACCAGAGGATAGGTATAGGCAGAGTGGGTGAGAGAAAGGAGAGAATGAATTGGACGAGAAAAAGTTGCAAGTGCAAGTGACGATTGCATTTCTGAAAGATAGGCTTGCGACGACTGCGGTCTGGACAGTCCGATCTGATAGGCCCGCGATGATATCCTCCTAGACTGACGCTGGACGGGAATCGCTATTAAGCCATTTTGAACAAGTCTCAAACGTCACCAGGAAGACCCATGTGAGAAGTGCATATCAATCAACAAAAAAGAGAGATAGATCATACATGTCTTCAATAGAGCAAGGGGTTCCAATCTCACTTGACCCTCCCCATCTTACCTTCTAAAACCTTTATCATCTCCCCATTCTCCGCTTCCCACACTTTCAATTGTTCCACACTTTTACCCATCTTTTCCAACAACCATCTAGCTCTCTCTTTAACAGCTGAACCTGATCCTAAACCCATGAACCCAGACGAAAGACCTAGTTTATCTTCACCCCCCGAGACTATGTCCTTCAGAGTGAGAAGTTCTTCTTCGCATGATTTGATAGTTGATTGAGCTGTGGAGATGAGAGCTGTGTTATAGTCTATCTGACATGATGCGCGGAATGTAGGGTCTGAAGTCAGTTTGACTCCGTATAGCCATCAGGTGGGCAAACCAGGGATGGGGTGCGGAGGGAGAGGGGGAAGGGGGAGTATGGAAAAACTCACCATTGACCAAAGCTTCAAATGCATAACGGAAAACAGGTTTTCCAGGTCTTACCACATCCGCCCTTCCATCCACATACCCAATAGAAACCAACTCGTGTTCCTCCATCGCTTTCAAAGCTGATTCAGCTCCTTTGAAAGGAAAGTTTTGAAGTAGACTAGCGTATGACAACTAAAAGTCAATTGGTTTTCCTTCTCCATGGTGCTCCGGCGCCCCTGCTCTTTCGATTATGAGCGGCGCAGATGTAACAGGAGGTCCAGGGAGTGCATGTGAGGATGAAATCCACTACCAAGCGTGACGGAGTGTGTTGTATGATTGAATAAAAGGGAGTGATAGAGAGTGAAACAACAGAAAGACTCACCTCGCCGGACTTTGCCAACTCATTAACAACTTTCCAGGCTTGACTCCTATTCCAAGGTAAACCTTTAGCATCATTTTCATCATCCCCAAAAGCCGCTTTCCTTAATTCTACCACATGTCGAAGAACTATATCTTCCACAGCCAATTTGATATTTGATCCAGTTCTGACTTTATATACAAGGGTTTCAAGTTCGACCATTCTTCCTCCTAGCTTTTTGATTTGTTCTTCATCTTCAAGTGAGAGACCACTTGTTGAACCGACTTTTGTCGTACTCATCTTTCCTACGTCTACGTTTGTCATATCGATCTTTGACGGAATACTTGATGCTGGATCTGATCGATCAGAATGAATGTTGGAGGTTGAATCAACAGATGATGTTGGTTTGGTTTCGATTGATGAAGATTTAACACCGACACCGACATAAGATAAAAGTTCGGAACCTATAACAGAAGGTGATGACCATCCTGAGGATTCATTGGGACTTGTTTTCGTTTTCGGTCCAGTTTTAGAGTTGACTTTAGAAAGAGAGGAGGAAGACTCTTGAGAAACCTCTCCATCACCTTTGATACCAGATTTCAATTTCTCTTCCACATACTTCAAAGAATTCTCCTCGTCCGCATCCGCTAACCCTACTCCATTCAATGGTTTGGCCGGAAGAGCCTTTGTCAAAGATTTCAACGCAGGAGCTGATTCTGTGACCACTATGACATGCGCTACTCTTCCATCCACCAAACTAGCGCCCCATTCCGCTAAAACACTCCATAAATCCCCTTTGGCCGTTTTCTGTGAGAAATTCTTCAATACTACGATAGGCAAAGTTCGTATGAATTCAGATTCCGCATCGATGTCCATATCCCCTGTACCCTCCGATTTGAGGTCTGTGCTTGGGGTAATTGGATTCTCGCTTGCTGTGGGGTTCCCGGTGGTGGAAGGTGAGAATGGGGTGGAGATCAAGTCGGATTCAGAGAAAGGTTCGATCCCCATACCTAACTCTGCAATGGGTCCATTACCCGCTATGCAGTCCAGTCGACCGTCATGCCATCCTCCACGGATGATCATCTCCCTTCGACGTGCGTGATCCGCAGCGACCAGCTCTTGTTCGCGTTTATATTGGACAGACCGGGCATGATCTTCTCTGGCTTTGGAAGAAACGTCCTTGAGTGCTCCACCGACAATTTCTAGCATTTGACGGAGTTGTTGGTCTACGGGTGTTGAAAAACCGGCTATCGATTAGCTACAGTTTCCATGGCGATAAAAGCAGAAGCAGATGAAGGACTGACCTTTCTGACCAATAAGACCGACAGAAGCGAGATCTATCAGACCGTTCAACGAAGACAAGAAGGAGAAGACGGGGTAGTATCCTGATCGTCAGCGCGATTCGCCCATCATGACAACCGGATGCCAAGATTCATGCGAGCAGCCGAACGAATCGCCGAAATTCCTGGCAATGACGGCAGAGAGGAGGACAAGGGGTACAGAAGTTTGTGAGTGAACGCGACGTACCCGTCTGGTCGGCCAAAGCACTGACTACCGCTCCATCCGATTTACCCTTGGCAATCTCACCACAATCAATCACCAAATTTGGCTTCTCGGCTTTACCCAACACTCTAGTGACGAGACTCATTTTCCCGCTTCCCGAAGGTCCGGTGATAGTAATGAAAGTACTGGGATATTCTGCCAACCATCTCTGGACACTTTTCTCAGCCTCTACTCGATCCTGCCAGGCGTCTTTACCTATTGCGTCGGGGAGGGAAGGAGGTGACGAACGGAAGCCAAGTGAAGAGAGGGACAGTTTGGAACGGAGGTCTAGTGATCAGCTGAAGAACGAATGGCCTGCATCTTCTTGATTGTCTTATCCCAAGGTTCCAAGAGCAGCGCCAATGGTCGAAGTACAAGACGGAGCCTTTTCTAGAGGCAGTGGGCGAGAGGGGTTAGTTAGTCAAGAAGAAATGCTCACATTTAATCACGGAATATTTCTCCAAGTCCCACACTCCTTCCAATTTACTTCTAACAAAGAATGCTCTGATAGGGTCAAAGAACTGCTGATCAGTCCATCGTCGGGGGTTGGAAAGAAAGCTCACGGTATAGCTCAATGTTCCGATGAGGAAAGCGATGACCGGCAAGGCTATCCGAGGATGTCCACTGATCCAATCTCGTACTGCGTGAGCCTTGAGTGGACGTTCGTAGTATATCCTCAGACGGGATAGAGGGATTGATGGGTCTGATCCGGATGCCCTTAGTGTGTGGTCGCCAGTGTTAGTGGGGGTGGAGTACCCATGTAACTGATTTCAGCCCTTGCTCCTGACACGTTTCCTTGCACATTCGCCCAAGACCACGTGGGTAGCCGATAACTCGTGGGAATGTGAGAATCTGGGAGGAGGAATGAAGGTACGGGGACATTAGGGCAACAGATAAAAGCTCACACAGTTCATGGCCACGGTAGCAGGGGTCAAATTTGAATAGCTGACGGTAGCAAAACGTAATGAACCGGCTGGGACAGGTGAGGGAGGTTGAATATCCCATACTCTCCCATATGGTCTAAACAATGTATACAGCATTTCTTGAGATACGTCCGGTCCATCAAACTCGACTCTAAGGCGTTGAGAGGGAAAGCGGTTCATGTCCTTTCCATTAGCGTCGGCTTTGTTGTGTAAACTTTGAGCATGGCTCTCTAAGGTCACGGGACACGAACACACGTGACAGAACAAATGACGACTTCACCCACCTCTGTCCATTGTCTCCCTTTCACAACCCAAGCCCTTCGTCCGCCACCAGCAGTCTGAACTCCGTTCAACCCACTCTCGCCGGTCTTCACAACCCCCCGTTCTTCTTCTTCGACGACACTTCGGACCTTTCCAGCTTCAGCGGTGTAAATTGTATGTCCCGCTACACCTTTCTGACCATACATTGAATTTGCCCACCATTGTCCTATCCAACTCGGCATTCCACCATGTTTGTTCGCACTCTCTACCAATTGTTCCAAAAAGAGTTTACCAGGACTATACGGATCCCCACTACTTTCTGGTAATCCTGTAAGTCTACCGATCTCACTCTCTTCTTCATGTTCGATATGGGTCGATGAAGGTGGGAGATAAGAGAAATGAAGGAAAACACCACCATCTTTCCTCGCTACCTCCCACGATTCCACTTTAAACCCATGACCCTTGACTTTTGACGAAATATCGTGAAGACGTTCCATCAAAGTCTCTTCACGAAGAGTGGCCCATACCGGTCGAGGGTCCCAGTAGGCGATACGCATGGGAAAGACGTTTGATATGTAGAATGATGCATAGCGACGTTTGGTCTCATCAGGAGGTTCGAGGGAAACTTGGTCCGCTATGAGGGTGGATACAACACGAAAGGGAGAATGGAGTGGATGATGACGAGGTGAAAGACGCGAGATATGAAGGGGTCGCAGGAGGATAGGTCTGGGTCGAAACATCTAGGCCTTTGTATAGGTTCGTTGGAGAAGTGAGTAAGAGTAGAAAGACAGAGGGAGACGAGAAAGACGAGAGACGACGTCATAGTTGAGAATTTGCTTCCGCTCCTCCGGCCAACCTCTACCAGATAGATCGCACGGAACATTGTCAGATGTGTTTGTCAGGATCCACTGGCAAGTTGATCAAGCTGAGCCCTTCTCAGCCTGAAAACTCCCAGAATCAGAGCCAAGTGAGCGTCAATGAAGCTCTTTGGGTTTCGAATCACCGTCATCTACTGTCACTCCTTTTGAGGTTACCCCACTACCAAGATACTCGTCATGGCACAGTGCTTCATCCCGCGCATTCAAAGGAGCAGAGCGGAGAAGTGGCTTCAAGAGTGTCATACATATGTATGTCTTATCACACCATCAATCTTTGATCATCCCTTAACAGTGTCATCACGTTTTGATGACATTTCTTTTGTCCCTGTCCACAATCCTCCTTTTGGCTCATGACCCCGTGCCATTCTCGAACCCCAGGCTCATGACCCTTCCACGCGCATATAAGTACAATCAAAGAGTACTTACCGTCTTCCTCATTTCAGCTTCCAATAACATCATCATGTCCCCATTTGATCTTCTGTCTGAAGGGTTGGCCCAAATCCAATCTACAGTGCGCTCAACCCTTTATAACACATTTGGAAATGAAAGGTATGAAGAAACTGGATATGAAGATGATGAACGTCCCATACCGGCACCAGATATTGGTTTGCTATCTGTACATTGGACCAAAAAGTATTCCTCGGATTCCCCCCCTCCCTCGCCCAACGATTCCGAAGGAACACCAGCACCCACGGTGGCACAACTTGATCTAAAGTTCCCATCAGGTTCATCTAACTACCGGATCCAATATCACAGATACGGAGGAAAACAAGTGACATACAAAATCACGGCTACCCTGACCACCAAACTGTCTGCTCTGGATCCAGCTCAAAGGCAAATCGAACCGATGTCAGATGCGTCCAAGAAGGAGAGCTGTCCAGATGATTCGGGAATGATGACTCCTGAGTTTGACCGGAGCAGTCCGCCACAATCGTCGGATGAAGTGTTACAAGACAAGGGATCAGTGGTTGATGCAAATGATGACACCAGATTGAATGAAAGGAGTGAAGGGGAAGACAAGGAAAGGAGTGATGGTGAAGATGCTAAAGATGACTATCCGGATTGGACCAAATCTAACTCGGTATGGCCCGATCAGGATGTGAATAGGACACGGTTCTCCGTGGAGGTGTCTATGACTTTGAATGACAGTGATGATAGCAGTGACAGGAATGGCGGACGATTTGAAGGGTGGCAATATGAGGATGGGGATGTCAGATACATTTCTGGTAGTTTCAAGACAGGAGAATACGATGAGGAATAATCTATCTCATGACTTGCTGTCTTCTGATATCTTTATACCCAGAATGCAGTGAGAAAGATATGTCCAGTACAGGCCAGGTGCCACACGGAAGTACTCGTATACTTGTCATGCACTCAATTCCAAGCTGACTTGGTCCACAACCTCCCTTTGGTTCTCTCGACTAGATTCCGCCCTCCTTGATTACCTTCTGTAGAGATAGCACCAGCTGTTATAAGTACACAACTTTATCAACTATACTAGAGGGGGAATCCTCCTGTACTGATTTTGTTTGATTTGAGGCAATGCTTTCCATTTTCATGGTCCTCAAATCATCCCCCTCAACGACATCATCTTCCGACATTGCATTCCACCCCGCTCAGCGTACATTCGGAGAAGTAAGCGACCTCTAATTTCGTGGGGCAAACGGTGTCGTTTCCGCCTCCAAAAGGTCTTCTCGATCTCATATGATAGTAACCGATCGTATCTCCTTTCTGTATTCTTATGAAAAAAAATCGCTTGAAGTTCTCGACTCGGATACAATAATCAGCTCCTTTCACCTGATCAACCGATTCGCGAAACAAGCCCAATGCGAGCTTTTAAATATATCTCTCCTTATCAACATTCTCAAATTCTCAAATCCTCTTGGATCTCCCTACAGACATAAGTCATCATGGCTAGCTCAACCAACACTGATGACCCAACTAGGCTTGCTTGCATACAATTTCGAGCGAGTTGGGAAGGCTCCCTTGAGCAGAGCTTTTGTCACTACCTGACTGAAGGTTCAGTGGGATTGTTTCCCCTCATTGACCCACCCACCAGTCAAAAGCTCACTTTGAACCTCAAGGAATTAGTGGACTCAAGTCTTACAAAAATCATCATGGAACATCACCTCGAAGCACCTCCCGGTACAATCCCATTTTCTACCTTCACCATCACTCCCCAGCCGTGTGATCTGAAGGTAGTACCCCACCTGAACCAAAAGCCCTACATCATTTGCTCAGTAAATGTTGAAACAAGACTGGCCCTATTCCGTAATGATCTTCAAACTACTGGACCTGAAAGATCATATAGGGAATCAGAGTATCATTTCTCCCTTGCACTTCCTACTCGAAATTGGGCAGAGGCAACAGAAGAAGGTATCACTCGTGATTTGTCAGAACCAATTGAGGAGATGTTGGGAAAAAGAGAAGGATTGAAGTGCAAGTCGGTACTAGGAACGGCATTACTGTACCCTGAAGTGGAAGGACTAGGATTAGACATGAAGTGGCGATTGGCATTGCAAGATGAAGACAGTGCTTTAATTGGTGCATCTTTCCAGGTGACTCTAGTGGGAGAAAAGGAAGTAGATGTGGAGGGTTCTTATATAGGCTGGCTATGGACAGAGGGAATGGCTCAAGAGCTTGTTCCAGTCAACACCCGAGTGAGTCTTCGGAAAGGGATCAACAGCAAATGGGAGGGAGTGGTATCCACTGGATTGCCTGAAGGGAGAGGACTTGAACAATCATGGGATGTCTTTGAATGATTGGGTGATTGACAGGTCCTGAAGTTCTGAATTTGCGTTTCTTGTGAAAATTATGAATACGAAATACATAGTCTCATTCTATCAGGACTAATACTCATGTAGAACGAGATAAGCTCTCACTGGTGTAATTGATATAGAGCCTTTTAGGCAGGTTCGTGATCGAAGGCTCGCTACCCGGTCATGACACAATCCGTGCGATTTTGAGATGATGAGAGCAATAATCTCACAAATGTCGCCGGTCCCCCTCTTTCTATGTATCTTCCCCTTGTCTACTGTATCTTGATTCTTGAAACTGCGGTATCCTGACTATGACTTCACTTTGGAAGAGTCCAGACTATTTCCCATGACGCGTATCCTCCAGGTTACCAATTCGACATCCTTTCAACCGTCCCTCCACCTTGCACCCACCTCCACCCCCTACCCACGGAGTCCCCTTCCCCCACAAGCATCCTACTTTCCCTTCCCCCTCAGTGTCCGCTTCAGTCTCACTTTCTCCTTCCTATACTTTCCACAAAGTTGTAAGATTTGACATCAAACTTCATGTCTCGTATAACCATTCCTGACTTTTCCCCTTCCCCGCCCTCGAGTCCCGAGATTACTACCCCTTCAGACGATGAAAGAACCTTGACAGGACCGAACGATGCCAGAAAATGTACCCGGTACGATCAGCTCAACAGTCTCTTTCAGACGCAATCTGATTTGCGGCTAGGAAAGGCATGGATATCCGGGCTTCTGATTGGCTCCGCAGGCTTTGGTTTGCCACCGCCTCTAGAACAGGCTGTCCGACGGGAGCTTTTTGAGGTTTGAAAGGGAAATCCAGGCAAATTGCAGAAGATTTCGATCTGAGGGATCTTGATATCCTGAAATGCAAATATGTAGTGTCATCATCCTCAATGTTACAACCCCATGACACTCTGCCAATGGCAGCAGTAGTGTCTGTCTGTGTTGTGGCATCATGGGACACTAACCCTGGGCTCAATACCACAGAGATGGAGCTCAATACCACAGAGCGGTCATATCAAGTTCACTTTGCACTACCTGTGCAGACCATGAGCCAGGCTTTTGAGAAGGCGTTATCCAAGGAAGATTGGGTGAAGAGAAAAAGTGAGATAAAAAATATCATAGGTGAACATGCAATGACAGAGAGCTTGCAGCTCTTGTCACATGATTCAATACAGGCTGAGAAAGCTTGGGGACAGTACCCAAACATGTCATTTTGCTTTGCAAACCTCATATGTGATACTTCCCCAGAGCATCACTCAGACAGTGCATCATCTGTTGTTTTGGATGGTCATTGGTCATGCTGGGTATGGGAAAGGAAAGGAGAGGGGTTAAAACAACTGCCTGGCCAATTCTCTAGTGTTATGGTCACACATGACACAACAGGTTGGACCCCTCAGCTGGTTGACCATGGAACTTTTTTGACTAGAGCGTCAGGTGAGGAGATACATGTAGCCTAAGTGGATGTGCATAAAGTTTGCTGGCGAAGATAACAATGCAGAGGGAAATGGAGCATGCATCAGATCTTCATGCCTCTATACTTCTCATATTCCACTATCATGCAGCAAACCTGATTCTATCGCATAAAGTCCAACGGGCAATGAGCAGGAGAACTAAAAAGACGGGACGGTTCGGACATCGAGACCCGACCGTATCGGGTGGGCGGATCGATTCCCCTTGTACGCACTGAGGCGAAGTACGTGGGGTGTCCCAGTTCTCAAGTCTTGGTCAGCTATAGTCTTTCCTTTCACTTGAAAAGTGTGTATGGGGTTGGAAACGGGCCAAAACACGAGACGGATTTTAGAAATCGTCGTCCGAGTGTGTGGCGCCCGTATGTCCGGTTCAACTTTTCCCATCACCCCTCTGCAACAAAATACTATATCTAGTCTTGAGGTTGTGTCTGTCCCCCTTCTCATCCATTTTCTTTCCAACTAAACACATTTATTATCTGTACTATGTTTAATTCTACGCAGGTTCCCCTCCCAGACGGACACCAACATGCTATCGCCTACTTGCCTTGGGGTACACCTCCTGCACCCTTCACCATCCCTGAGCTTTTCACACATTTTTCATGGGAGGGCACTGAGACCTCACAGCCCCTTGGAAACCTTTTACCTAGTCTTGATCACTGGTTCAAAGGATATCTTGTTTTTGATCTCTGCGGAGAATTTCAACAGGAGGCTGAATCATATCTGCTAAGCCATTGTTCACCTGAGGCTCTTGGTTTCGATGTCACACAGATCTCTGACTTCACTGTTACGGGGTAACAACGAATTGAGAGGACTCTATCGAGTTCGACGGATTAGGATAGAGAACAGCGGGAGTTGGAGGCAGTGCTGCAGTAGGTAGGGACGGGTTTTCCCTCTTCGAGATTTCCCCACTGGGTTTGCTCAAAAGCGGTTTTTCACCTGTCCGAGTATGTACATAGACGCATGCAGTAGGAAAAGAGGAGGACACGGATACCTGTAGACATTATATAGTACAATCAGCAAAGTACCAACTTTGCTGATTCTTCAATATCATTCTTTGGCTACATCGATTGCAGAGGAGACACGATCCATCACATAGCACCAGAGACCCATAGATTTCCACGAGACTTCCATCGAGTTCGACCCAACCTGCGACCTAGTCATCGTGTTTCCAGTACCGTTACATTCACCCTGTTTACAGAAGAACCTTCAAGGTTACTAGGGAGTGTGAGTTTACGATTGAAGAGAGCAATGTTGCAGAGGAGTACAATTACTCATGTCCTATGTGAGTCGAAGGTTATACATAGAACATTATCTCTTCCTACTATGGATCTTGAAACGGCCTACCAAATGGCCTTCCTCGCAACCATAAATGATACTGAGTTTTGGGACAAGCAAAAGCAGATAACACCATGGGTTTTAGGTGAAGCTCGAGAAAGACTGAAACAAAGCCTTCTGGCAGCTCAGAGATCTTGGCTGCAAGCAAGAAGAATCAATCCAGACACGTTTAAGGAACGAAGTTATTATGAGTTTAAGTTTAGTAAGAGTAGCAGTGATGAAACCTTCCTTTGGAAATGCTCTGGAGCTGTTCAACTTTGGGGTCATTCACCCCAAGTTTTCAATTCCTCAAGTGCTGGTTATCCTGTCAAGGGAAGACTGAGCGGTCTCGTGAGCATCAATCTTTTCCCCAGAGATGGTCCTAGACATCAGTGCGAGGAGTGGAGCGTAGATTATATCACGGCCACTCCTCATCCGGACTTTCCCCCAGAAGAAATCACTCCATACATGGAATAAAGTGTCACAGGGTAAAAGGGGATTGTCAAACTCGATGGAACTGGAAGGAGAAGGATGCATGCATGCATGCGTTACGTGACGGACGGACGGAAGCCATGATGGTAGGGACACCGCGGGAGACAGACACCTCCAGAGCTGCATGATCCTGGTCAGACCCAGCAGGTGTTCCACTCCGGAGCTGAACACATGTGTGTCCATTCCTGTCTGGAGAACTGTCTCTCAAACAGAGTGTGCATGGTACATTATGTCTTGGGGGGAATGAATTCAATATATGTGACAAGATACCACCCTGAATGCATGCAATATTGTCACGTACTGTACTTGGACACAGTGGTACAAACGGGGAAGGCAGGGAGTAGGTCTCCATACACTTGCCAGACATGGCATATAACATGTTCGGCCTTCAATGTGAGTGTCATATGTGAGCGAAGCGTGCTTCCTAGACTATATGGAGGACAGGACATGACTAACACCATAAATTATATCTTTCGTCACTTTGAAACTTTCACCATTGCTCTCTCAGGGTTGCTGTGAGTAGGTTTGGTCACCTCCGGAGGTGCATGGTGCTTGTGGGGACCGGACATTGTAGATAGTCTGTGGTGCTTGTGCTATGGCTGTAAAGGCCTCGTAGGGGACAAACCTATTGATGTGGAAGATCTGATAGACCTGAATGATTCTTGAGATCCAGTGGTGAGATACAATTGTTAGCAACCCAGCCGGAGACTTGCCGCTCCGGAGCTGTCTGGACCCTCCAACAGACCCAGCCAGAGATTTCTTGGATTGCATGTCTTGTGGAGGAGCATGTTAAGGACCCAGCCGGAGAGGGACCACTCCGGAGTGGCATGGTTCAAACTACCCCTTTGGGACCCAGCCAGAGAAACATGCCACTCTGGAGGGGTCCGGACCCACCCTGTTAAGACCTGGTTAACCAGCACCAGGCCATACACTGGCCATGCATGTGACATCTTATGCCACTGCGCTAAAAGGCACAATATCGCAATCAGCCCTATGATTGCGATCCGGTTATAACCTGATGTCACGACTGAGGTTGCAGGGTCGTGACACACCCAGAGTAATCCACACGCCCTTGAGTTATCCATCCTAGTTTTCCCAAACTACTCTTCTTCTCAATGACAATTCAGTAGCCAAACCTCCCAGTTGTCTATCTTAGTCGGCTCTGAGCATTGTGTAAGCAGGACAATCTCAATGGTTGCTTCAAGTTTGGTATTGTCAGGGCAAGACATGGGCTGATGATTGGTGTTTGAACATTGACAAATTGCTTACAGACCATGTCAATCTCATGGAAAATCACTGCAGATGGATGTGCTTGTTCAAAGCATATGGAAACAATTTCATCTAGCCAATCTTACCTCATAAACTCATCAGCAACCTGCTTTTTCTCTGGCAGGGTCTGCTGAAGGAGTCAGACCACTCCGGAGTGGAACATCTCTGGTCAGGTCTAATTGGATCCGTGCAGCTCCGGAGGGGTCCGTCTCCGGCTGGTTCCCTAACAGAGCAAATTGCCATTGTCAAATGATGAGCCCTCTGAAGTGGTGCAAATCAGTCCTTCCTTACAGTAGGGTGCTTCTATACCATCTCATTACCAACTCCAACTTGATGCATGCTCTTCTTTCCCTCTGTATCATCATCTGATTATCAGCAAACAATCCTGACACTTCTCCGACTGTGTCCAAGAGTGTTTGCTGATAATTAGATGATAATACAGAGGGGAAAAAGAGCATGCATCAATTCTACATGTCTCTATACTTATCACATTTCTCTCAACACAGTAATCCAGAGACGATCGAATAGAGTTCAGAGGATAAGTTGCACGGAGAAATATTTGACGGAAGGGGTAATACTCTAACGGCGGTTCGGCCGTCCTGGCCCAATTCTATCGGCTAACACTCCTCCACGGGACAATGCACGACTCTGCAGTAGTCCCGGACAATTTATTGATGGCAATGGCGAGGTTTGTGATGATGTAGAAGGTAGTAATGATGAAATATTGAGTGTTATGTGTGTGGTAGTAGTGGTAGGTGAAATCGTGAAATGAATTTTGGTGGGGCCCCGCACTGTCGGGCTCCGCTCTGACACATAGTTACCGCTCACTACTGACGACTCACTCTTCTCTATCTTTCCTTTTACTTCATCACTTTCACCTCCAATTAACGGTATGTCCACCTTTCACCTTTCTCCACTTTTATCACTCATTTCTGACTGTCTGAACCTCCTTCTATCCTGTCTACTTCTTAAAACTTCAGGTTTAGTGGTAGAATTCCAAGAATCGATGAATTTCCTTTGTGGTCCTGGCTGACAATATCTCATAGAATCACCACCCACCAAAAAACTTTTATTTTTATAAGAATTATCATTATGTCTCGTCATGGGTTTCTCCTGGTTGGTCTGTGGAGGGAGTCCGAGAGAAAAGGTACGCTGTTTATTGAATCTGTCATTATCTAGACTGATTTCTCGAATTCTCTCCAAAGTTGACATTTTATCTCTGGATGTTGGTGTCATCCATTTTGTACTCTCGGTATCTTTTGGCGTCCGCTTCTCGTGGTGGACAAGGGGCCTCGTCCCCTTTATTTGATCTACTCCACGAGATGGAGGCTTGGGAAGGGGCGATAAGAGACGTCCTAGACTATGAGATGAGGGGTCGTGATGAAGAGACGGGAAATACATAGTTTTCTCTCTCTTCTCCCCATGTAGTCAGCCTTCCCTTCTCTTCTGTCCCTTCTCTTTCATTTCTCTAACAATTCTAGGTTATACCGATGGCTTCTGACCTATCTTAGAATTACTCACATTCTTAGGTACACCTGAAAATTTAACATTTTGGCTCACGAGAACTTTTCCTTCGGTGGTCTCTTTTGCTTTGGAGGGTTTCTCTGAAGTTCCTTCTACCCACACTTCTCTCTCTGGTACTACTTCGCTCTCTGTAACACCTGATAGATCTCCTAGATCCTCGAAATCAGAATGATTGTAATCGATGATTTCTTCATCATCTAATGTCACGTATACTGAAGCAATGTTTTTTTTTCTTCGGTGGTTCTACTCGTATCACTGACATATTCACCGAATGTACTGGTCCACCTAAAGCCTTCGTGAGTACATCTGCTCTCTGAGAGACAGTGCTGACGTATTCTGGTTCAATAACTTTATTACTGACTAAACCTTGAAGAGCATGATGTCATATATCAATATGCTTTGTCCTCTGGTGAGTACCAGGTTTTCTCGCCAGTGATATCAATCCTTGATTATCACAATTTAAGACAGTAGGATTTAGCTGATCGTAGCCTATCTCCCTTAGTAATCCTCTCGACCACTGAGCTTCCTTTGCTGCTTCAGCCATCGCAATGTACTCTGCTTCTACTGTGGACGGCAATACTGTAGCTTGTCTTTTTGAACTCCATGTTATTGGTGAGTTGTTCATCATGAATATCCAGCCTGTAGTTGATTGTCGTGTGTCTTTACAACCTGCCCAATCGTCATCAACCCATCCTGCTAGATCGCTAGCCTCGCCACCGAGACGAATACCATGTAAACGAGTGGACCGAAGGTAGGTAATTACCATTATCCCTTCTTCCCATACTTTCTTCATTGGTTTGGTGAGGTACCTAGCAAGGTATGAGGCTGCATAGGATATATCTGGTCGAGGACATGTGGCTAACCACTGTAGACAACCTATTAATTCTTGAAATGGTCGAATTTCACTTTCCACTTCCGACATCGAAGGATTTTTTGCAGTAAGAGGTAAAGGCGTTTTTCGGTCTCGGTGTAAGTCGTTTTCAGGAAACTTCTGAACTGTTTTATCGATATACGCTGGTTGGTTTAACCATATTGTCTTTTCTTCTCTGTTCCTTGTTACCTTCATACCTAGAATGGTACTTATCTCCCCCAGGTCGGTTATTATCCAACTTTTTCCTAGCCCATCGAAAATTTCCTTTGCTTCTTCCTTCGATTTCGTGGCTAATACCAGATCATCGACATAGGCTAGCAGTATTGCTGCTCCCTTTCCTTCGATTTTCCCTTCTGGTCTGTAGTAAAGACCCCAATCAGACTCGATTCTTGAAAAACCTAGGTGAGATAATCCTTTGCCGAGTTCTATCCACCATGTCCTACCAGATTGTTTTAAACCGTAAAGAGACTTTATTAACTTCAAGGTATTACATCCAGGTTTCGGCTTTATCCCCTTGGGATACTTCATGTAAATTTCGACATCGAGTTTACCGTTTAAATACACCCCTTCGTCATCGGCCTGACGAATTTCGAGATCTTCGGTGGCCGCTATAGTCAAGAGTATTCGCAACGATCCCGATCTTCCTACAGGTGCAAATGTTTCTTCGTAGTCGACACCTGGTATCTGTGAGAAGCCTTGGGCTACTAGTCGTGAGTTGTACTTTAGTAGGTTTCCCTCAGAATCTGTCTTCACTTTGAGCACCCATTTACATCCAATGGCTTTTCGTCCCGGTGGAAGTACCGTCTCCACCCATGTATCCTTAGACTCTATGTTGGATATCTCTTTCTCCATGGATTCTAGGCACTTCTCACCATCTGGGCCGTTTACTGCTTTTCAGGAGAGACAGGATCAATGAGAGAAGTGTCGCTTTCAATACCTGCAATAGAGGCAAGTGCGATTAACTTATTAGGCTCACGACCAAATTCTAGGAATGTCACAATTGTCGTTTCTTCTCCTCTACTGACCGACGGTCGACAAACCTCGGCTAACTACGTCGTAGTGGGGTGTCGGTGTCTCACTAGGACAGGGTACTCGTCGGGGGAACTACGGCTAACTTCGCCGTAGTAATACGTCGAGTGGTAAATGATAAGATGATCGTTGATGAACTGCGGCTAACTTCGCCGTGGTACGTCGAACTGCTCGATGGTAGCTCTCCTTAACTCGAAGGTTGTAGCTACTGAATATATCGCTCGCTACTGACAACAATCAAGGATCGCTGAAGAAGTTCAGCGATCTGTAAACTATCTATACTGCTCCTCTCTTCTCATAGAACGTCCTTCAACTCTCGCACTGCCCCACGCTCAGTCCTCTTCGTTCAACTTCGCCGTACCTCGCCATATCCCCGATGTCCTACTCCGCTCACTTCAACTAACTTCACCTAACTTCCCCTGTTCTGCTCTCCCTCGGTTCCCTTCCCCTAACTTCGCCGTAGTTCTCCGCTAGGCGGGGTTATCGTGACAAATACCCTCTTGGTTCTCGTAACTTCGCCGTAGTCGGTCTCAGTGGTTCGGGTGGTAGTTGGTGATGGTGAAAGGAGGGTCGGTGATGGTGGTTGTCAGGGATGTTACGATGTGGTTCGTGACAAGGAACAAGTCTGTTAGGCCCGTGAAACGGTGGGGGGGTTGAATAATTTGTCTGTGACGTGTCGTCACAATCCCCTTGTCCCCATCATTTCTTCCTTCCTCATCATTTCTTTCATTTTTGACAATATCGTTCTCATAGACCCAATTTCCTCCCCAGATACCCTGTCCACGTTGTCTTTCAGTAGGTTGTGGACCTGTATTAGGAGAGTGGTCTCTGTCGATATCATTTCCTCGTTCATTATTGATATTTTCCTGTTCGCCACTTTC